CCCCCAGACCGAGCCTGCTCTCCCCCTCTGACACCCCCAGACCGAGCCTGCTCTCCCCCTCTGACACCCCCAGACCGAGCCTGCCCTCCCTCTCTCTGCCCCCGGTTTCACCTCTCTCAGCCTTGTCCCTCCTGCCCATTGCAGCTCCTCCAGACCAGGAAACAGCTACTTCCGCCCGACTCTGCTCACTTCCGGTGCATTCTACGGCGGCTGGCGAGGGACAGACTCTGCCAGAGCAGTGAGCGGCTTGTGAGCGCCCTCTGGCGGCGGCCGTGTGGAATGCACTCTCTAACCTTGGTGGCGTTATTCTGTGTGAATGGACCTGATCAGATGGTTAATATATCACCGAGTGCAGGTATCAGCAACCGATGGCGATCACAGCAACCGACGGCGTTCACAGCAACAGACAGCGTGTGCTCCATGTATGGCATTCACAGCAACGAATGGCGTGTGCTCCATGTATGGCGTTCACAGCAACCGATGGCGTGTGCTCCATGTATGGCGTTCACAGCAACGAATGGCGTGTGCTCCATGTATGGCGTTCACAGCAACGAATGGCGTGTGCTCCATGTATGGCGTTCACAGCAACAGACAGCGTGTGCTCCATGTATGGCGTTCACAGCAACCGACGGCGTTCACAGCAACAGACAGCGTGTGCTCCATGTATGGCGTTCACAGCAACAAATGGTGTGTGCTCCATGTATGGCGTTCACAGCTACCGATGGCGTTCACAGCAACCGATGGCGATCACAGCAACCGATGGCGATCACAGCAACCGATGGCGTGTGCTCCATGTATGGCGTTCACAGCAACGAATGGCGTGTGCTCCATGTATGGCGTTCACAGCTACCGATGGCGTGTGCTCCATGTATGGCGTTCACAGCTACCGATGGCGTTCACAGCAACCGATGGCGATCACAGCAACCGATGGCGATCACAGCAACCGATGGCGTGTGCTCCATGTATGGCGTTCACAGCAACGAATGGCGTGTGCTCCATGTATGGCGTTCACAGCTACCGATGGCGTGTGCTCCATGTATGGCGTTCACAGCAACCGATGGCGATCACAGCAACCGATGGCGTGTGCTCCATGAATGGCGTTCACAGCAACTGATGGCGTGTGCTCCATGAATGGCGTTCACAGCAACCGATGGCGATCACAGCAACCGATGGCGATCACAGCTACCGATGGCGATCACAGCAACCGATGGCGATCACAGCTACCGATGGCGTTCACAGCTACCGATGGCGTTCATAGCTACCGATGGCGTTCACAGCAACCGATGGCGTTCACAGCAACCGACAGCGTGTGCTCCATGTATGGCGTTCACAGCAACCGATGGCGTGTGCTCCATGTATGGCGTTCACAGCAACCGACAGCGTGTGCTCCATGTATGGCGTTCACAGCAACCGATGGCGTGTGCTCCATGAATGGCGTTCACAGCAACCGACGGCGTTCACAGCTACCGATGGCGTTCACAGCAACCAATGGCATTCACAGCAACCGATGGCGTTCACAGCAACCGATGGCGTTCACAGCAACCGACAGCGTGTGCTCCATGTATGGCTTGTGCTCCATGAATAGCGTTCACAGCAACCGATGGCGTTCACAGCAACCGATGGCAATCACAGCTACCGACGGCGATCACAGCTACCGACGGCGTTCACAGCAACCGACGGCGTTCACAGCAACCGACGGCGTTCACAGGTACCGACGGCGTTCACAGCTACCGACAGCGTGTGCTCCATGTATGGCGTTCACAGCAACCGATGGCGATCACAGCAACCGATGGCGTTCACAGCAACCGATGGCGTTCACAGCAACCGATGGCGTTCACAGCAACCGACGGCGTGTGCTCCATGTATGGCGTTCACAGCAACCGACAGCGTGTGCTCCATGTATGGCGTTCACAGCAACCGATGGTGATCACAGCAACCAATGGCGATCACAGCAACCGATGGCATTCACAGCAACCGATGGCGATCACAGCAACCGATGGCGTGTGCTCCATGAATGGCGTTCACAGCAACCGATGGCGTGTGCTCCATGTATGGCGTTCACAGCAACCGACGGCGTTCACAGCAACCGATGGTGATCACAGCAACCAATGGCATTCACAGCAACCGATGGCGTGTGCTCCATGTATGGCGTTCACAGCAACCGACGGCGTGTGCTCCCTGTATGGCGTTCACAGCAACCGACGGCGTGTGCTCCATGTATGGCGTTCACAGCAACCGATGGCATGTGCTCCATGTATGGCGTTCACAGCTACCGATGGCGAGTGCTCCATGTATGGCGTTCACAGCAACCGATGGTGTTCACAGCAACCGACAGCATGTGCTCCATGTATGGCGTTCACAGCAACCGATGGCGTGTGCTCCATGTATGGCGTTCACAGCAACCGATGGCGTGTGCTCCATGAATGGCGTTCACAGCAACCGATGGCGTGTGCTCCATGTATGGCGTTCACAGCAACCGACGGCGTTCACAGCAACCGATGGTGATCACAGCAACCAATGGCATTCACAGCAACCGATGGCGTGTGCTCCATGTATGGCGTTCACAGCAACCGACGGCGTGTGCTCCCTGTATGGCGTTCACAGCAACCGACGGCGTGTGCTCCATGTATGGCGTTCACAGCAACCGATGGCGTGTGCTCCATGTATGGCGTTCACAGCTACCGATGGCGTGTGCTCCATGTATGGCGTTCACAGCAACCGATGGCATGTGCTCCATGTATGGCGTTCACAGCTACCGATGGCGAGTGCTCCATGTATGGCGTGTGCTCCATGTATGGCGTTCACAGCAACCGATGGCGTGTGCTCCAGGTATGGTGTTCACAGCTACCGATGGCGTGTGCTCCATGTATGGCGTTCACAGCAACCGATGGCGTGTGCTCCATGTATGGCGTTCACAGCTACCGACGGCGATCACAGCTACCGATGGCGTGTGCTCCATGTATGGCGTTCACAGCAACCGACGGCGTTCACAGCAACCGATGGCGATCACAGCAACTGATGGCGTGTGCTCCAAGAATGGCGTTCACAGCAACCGATGGCGTTCACAGCAACCGATGGCATTCACAGCAACCGATGGCATTCACAGCAACCGATGGCGATCACAGCTACCAATGGCGTTCACAGCAACCGACAGCGTGTGCTCCATGTATGGCGTTCACAGCAACCGATGGCGTGTGCTCCATGTATGGCGTTCACAGCAACCGACAGCGTGTGCTCCATGTATGGCGTTCACAGCAACCGATGGCGTGTGCTCCATGTATAGCGTTCACAGCAACCGATGGCGTGTGCTCCATGTATGGCGTTCACAGCAACCGATGGCATGTGCCCCATGTATGGCGTTCACAGCAACCGATGGCGATCACAGCTACCGACGGCGTGTGCTCCATGTATGGCGTTCACAGCAACCGACGGCGATCACAGCAACCGATGGCGTGTGCTCCATGAATGGCGTTCACAGCAACCGATGGCGATCACAGCAACCGATGGCGATCACAGCAACCGATGGCGTGTGCTCCATGAATGGCGTTCACAGCAACTGATGGCGTGTGCTCCATGAATGGCGTTCACAGCAACCGATGGCGTTCACAGCAACCGATGGCGATCACAGCTACCAATGGCGTTCAGAGCAACCAATGGCGTTCACAGCAACCGACAGCGTGTGCTCCATGTATGGCGTTCACAGCAACCGAAGGCGTGTTCTCCATGTATGGCGTTCACAGCTACCGATGGCGTGTGCTCCATGTATGGCGTTCACAGCTACCGATGGCGTGTGCTCCATGTATGGCGTTCACAGCTACCGATGGCGTGTGCTCCATGTATGGCGTTCACAGCTACCGATGGCGTGTGCTCCATGTATGGCGTTCACAGCAACCGATGGCGTGTGCTCCATGTATGGCGTTCACAGCAACCGATGGCGTGTGCTCCATGTATGGCGTTCACAGCAACCGATGGCGTGTGCTCCATGAATGGCGTTCACAGCTACCGATGGCGTGTGCTCCATGAATGGCGTTCACAGCTATCTATGGCGTGTGCTCCATGAATGGCGTTCACAGCTATCTATGGCGTGTGCTCCATGTATGGCGTTCACAGCAACCGATGGCGTGTGTTCCATGAATTGCGTTCACACGGGAGTCTTTGCACAGCTATCTGTGGCGTGTGTTCCATGAATGGCGTTCACACGGGGAGTCTTTGCACAGCTATCTGTGGCATGTGTTCCATGCTTGGCGTTCACACGGGGAGTCTTTGCACAGCTATCTGTGGCGTATGTTCCATGAATGGCGTTCACACAGGGAGTCTTTGCACAGCTATCTATGGCGTGTGTTCCATGTATGGCGTTCACACGGGGAGTCTTTACACAGCTATCTATGGCGTGTGTTCCATGAATGGCGTTCACACGGGGAGTCTTTACACAGCTATCTATGGCGTGTGTTCCATGAATGGCGTTCACACGTGGAGTCTTTAGACAGCGCTCAAGGCTGCCAGAGACAAACAGGCTTTAGGCTATTTGCAGTCCCCGTGTGACAGATATCTGTTAGTGCAAACCTAGCGCTAATTGCAGGTGGTGAGAAACAATCCTCATTTTATGCATTACCGCACTTAAAGGAAGCAATGTCAGATCACTCCCTCCCTCCCCGCTCTTGTGAACAGGAATTGACACTGGAGTAGAGCAGACAGCAGGAGCTATTGCAGCTCCTGTCTGTGACCAGTACCTGCCCAGCATGGTCCCTGCTGGACCCCAGGGAAAGAATCCACTCTGTTAGATATACACAGAACTGCAAAAGAATCCGCCCATAATATAAATAATACAAACAGCCCAAACACACAGCGCCCACAAACACAACACCACTGACAATCCACATACATACACACAACTCCACAAGCAGCCCCACACATACAAACACACAATGTGACATATCATCCACATACACAACTCCACAAGCAGCCCCAAACATGCAAACACACAATGTGACTTATCATCCACACACACAATACCACAAGCAGCCCCACACATACAAACACAAAATGTGACATATCATCCACACACACAATACCACAAGCAGCCCCCATACACAGCCGACCTCCATAGGTATCATACACAATACCACAAACTATTCATGAACATATACAATATAACAGCGGACATACGCACAAATACAATGCTACAAAGCAACCGCAACAGCCATAAATAACAAGCACAATACGACAACATACACACCTCGATGTAAAAAAAAAAAAAAAAAATAGGCTCTGCACACAGCATACTTTGGGACTTCAAGATCCTTTTTTGGCACAGTACTACTAAAAGGCTGCCTACCTACCACTGACAGTGCATGGAATAATATAAAATGTGTTCATTGTAAGGCCTGCATGGTGTTCACTAAACACCGCATTGTAGAAAATTAAACTCTGAATGGAAAATTTAGGCCAAAAGCCGCGTTTGAAAAAGAAAAAGGTAGGAAATATGCTACAATGCCCTCACCATTTTTTTTTGTTCTTATTCCGGATTCAAACATGGCAGCATAATTCAGTTAATAATGCAATGGTGATAGATCAAGGTAAAATAAATATATATTTTATTTTCAATCTACTCCACGACCTACGATTGGATCAAAGTCTCCGCTAAATGCACTTCTATGAGTTTCCGATGGGGAATGTGTGGCTGTGGATAAAATGACATATTTATAATGCCCATGGCATTATCAGAGAACAGAGATACGTACTTCTCAATACAGTTAAGATATGTATACACAGAGATATTTACTAAAGGGTGAATTGTCAGGAAATCACGGTTATTCACTAAAGAGAGAATTCAAAGTGAAATTCTAAATAAAATAAAAAAATTATTGGAAAACAAATCTTCAAATCTGTTCAGTTTGGCTAATTTAGCCTTAAAGGGACACTCCAGGGACCAAAAAAATCTAAATTAAGTTGTAATGGTTTTAACAGCCCCTGGATGCACTCTTACCTTACTGGGTTTAGCCATTCTCGGTTGAGCCCCTAAGTTGCCTCCAGTGGCGATGTCCATTCCCCCCAGGCGGCATCCAGCTTCTGAAGTTTCACCTTCATGAAGCACAGAGTGCGATGGGGCAGTGTCAGCTGACACTCTAGCCAATCAGTGACTCCTAATTCACTAAATTGGCTCAGACAGAAATGTACCTTTTCCAAGCCAGTTTTGTAAATGGGGCCAGCTTGGACTATTGTAGGCTACATTGCGGTGGTGTAGAACGTGGATCAGAGTTGGTGTGAATGGTGGTACGATTGAAAATACATGGAACACTAATAAAACCAGGTGACCTGTTTATATACGTTTGTTGTGAGGGACTTATAGTTGGATAAATTCAGAATCTGGAGTTAAACTTTTAACGGACGTTGAATGGAATGGGTTACTTACTGGTCTTCAAGGGTCAGGAACTCCAAGGAAAGTGTTCTCCTTCTTATAGCTACTTCTCCATGTATACTATTAGCGGTCTGCTTCCACTGGTTGGGTGCAAGGGAAGGGCATCAGGAGGCCTGCTCTGTACGACACTCAAATTATTGTACATAAACTAAATTCTCATGGCACCACTACAATCAGAGAGACCAGGACCCAACCACACTAATCGGTCTGGAGAAGCTCTGGTTTTTAGACCCACTAATAAGGCAATATTACAAGATATGGGAGTAAGCACCAGAGGCATAACTAGAAACCATCCTGTCCCGGTGCGTAAATTGCCTTCAGCCCCTTTACGTATCTCATTCTTCGCCCACGCGTCGAATCCTCCCCCATATGTCTCATTCTTCCCCCTCGGCTCCTCCATGTGTCTAATATCCCCCCATATGTCTCATTCTCCCCTCTTGGCCCTCCATGTCTAGTCCCCAATATGTCTCATTCTCCCCTCTTGGCTCCTCCACATGTCTAATCCCCCCCCCCATATGTCTCATTCTCCCCCCTTGGCTCCTTCACGCATCTAATCCCCCCTATACGTCTCATTCTCCCCCACTCGGCTCCTCCGCGTGTCTAATATCCCCCACCATATGTCTCATTCTTCCCCCAGCTCCTCCACGTGTCTAATTTCTCCCCCCCCCATGTCTCATTCTACCTCCTCTGTTCCTCCACATGTTTAATTGCCCCCGCCCCATGTCTCAATCTCGCCCCTCAGCTCCTACATGTCTAATCCCGCCCACATGTCTCATTCTCCCCCCTCTGCTCCTCCATCTGTCTAATCCCTCCCACATCTCTCATTCTCCCCCTCAGCTCCTCCATCTGTCTAATCCCTCCACATCTATCTCATTCTCCCCCCTCAGCTCCTCCACGTGTCTAATCCTGCCCACGTCTTTCTCCCCCCTCAGCTCCTCCACGTGTCTAATCCCGCCCACATGTCTCATTCTCCCCCCTCAGCTCCTCCACATGTCTAATCCCGCCCCCCCGTGTCTCATCCATCCATTTACTTTTCTTAGGCTGCTTGTATCTTAATGCTTATATATTTCCCCCTCCATTACCTTGTTTTTACAGTGATGTTTTCAGTTGCACAACAGAGGATCCAGGGAGTTATAGTTCCATTGCTCGGGCTATGGTCTATTGAAAGCCAGCAGATTACCCGTATACCCTTAAATACCTGTGTCTGTGGATTCATGGCATAAACTCAGTTGTGCTATGTGAAGTTCAGGGAACATGATTAGTTAACCACTTACAGGTCTTGGCTGAGCTCACTGTACAAGCATGTCACACTCAAAGGCTAACACGGGCCAAATAAATACGGTTAAAGGACCACTATAGTGCTAGGAAAACATACTCGTTTTCCTGGTCCTATGGTGCTCCCACCCTCAGGGTCCCCCTCCCACCGGGCTCTAGGGGGTGGAAGGGGTTAAACTTACCTCCTCGGCTGAATACACATGCTCATTCAGCCAGTCCATAGGAAAGCATTCTCAATGCTTTCCTATGGACGCTGACGTCTTCTCACTGTGAAAATCAGTGAGAAGCGCAGAAGTCCTCTAGCGGCTGACATTGAGACAGCCACTAGAGGCTGGATTAACCCTATTATAAACATAGCAGTTTCTCTGAAACTGCTATGTTTATAGAAAAAAAGGGTTAAACCTAGCTGGACCTGGCACCCAGACCACTTCATTAAGCTGAAGTGGTCTGGGTGTCTATAGTGGTCCTTTAACCCCTTAAGGACACATGTCATAATTCCCTTTTATTCCAGAAGTTGGTCCTTAAGGGGTTAAAGTTTGTGGGTGGCAAAAAAAACAAAAACTTCAGTTTTCATAAAAGTACAACATAAAAAAAGTTGCCTAGCTGGACATCTGCACACTTGTAGGGCTTCAAAGTAAACATAAGAACACATTTATTTTAAGGAACTGTGCATTTGCATATAACCAATGTTTCAGTCAAACTTCCTTGAAATATTAAGAAATGTTTGGTAATGGGACTGAAATGATGAATGTATGCTTGTGCACAGCTGTAAAAAAGACAAATGACGTAATGTTGATTTTGAAGTCCTTTGAGTGTGTTCTTCACTTTGGCTGAGATCAAACTTGATGATCTCAGCCAATCCAATGCTTTCCCATAGGAAAGCATTGGGAGGCTATTGTGTATGTGTGTCAAAAAGCTGCGCAGCCAATCAGCATCTCTATGGGGAGCATTCAGAGTCTCGATGCCTTCCCAATCTTATATACTGCCCACAAATCCAACATTGCCCCTCCTCCCTCCCCCCCAATTTAAACACACTGCACTCCGCCCCAATTTACACACACTGCACTCCCAATTTAAACACACTGCACTCCTTTAAACACACTGCACTCCACCAAATTTAAACACACTGCACACTGCACCCTTACCCAATTTAACACACTCCCCAAGCCCCTCTTCCTCTACCTTAAGATGAGCCACCCATCCTCCAGTTCCAGTCCTGCTCTTCTCTGCTTAAGCCGGCCAGACGCTCCTCTGGCACTGCAAGCAGAAGGGAAGGGGGAGTGGCTGGCCTGTGGAGCACGCGATCAGCCATAGGAGGGAAGGCAATCTGCTAGGAAATAGCTTTCCTGTCTTGAGGGTGGTCAAAGCCACAACACAAAGTGGCCCCAGGGCAGGTGGGCCACAAATATATCCATTGTGGGCCGCAAGTTTGACATGCTTGCTGCAGAGACTAGGGATTGTCAGCAAACGCGAGGAGTTAAAAAGACGATTTTTTAAAAGCCTTATTAAGTGTATTGCCGATACATTTTTATGCAGGAACAAACAAACAATGTTATTTATTACAATTTGGAAGTGTCATTTTAAAGTAATATTCAAATGTGTTTTTTTTAAAAAGAAAACTGTAAAATGATCATACTGTAACAGATGTAGGTAACATTTGACACTCCAGAAGTTGACTACATCTCCCCTGATGCTTGGCCAGCATGTGGCTACAAACCCTTATGGGAGATAATGACACCTGGAGTGTCAAATGTTGTCTATTCGTGGACTAGAAGATACCTACAACTTTACAGTGTCCAAAAACAAATAGAGACAATAGGTATAAAATCTATTAACACAATTCCATGGAAACCCACAATGAATTTGTTTAAGTGCTGGAAACAGAAGTTAACTCCTAAAAATATTTTTACTTGGAAATCTAATGAGGGGACATTGTTTGAGTAGTTCATATAAAACACATTTTGACCAAAATAACATATTAAAGAAAGACACAAAACAAAAAGCCACACAAATCAAAATCAGTACAAGACAAAATAAAAGACAGCACACAGTTAAGAGCACAAGGTGGGGCTTTAAAAAGGTTTTATAATACCAATGCAGGTTTAATTTCAAATCTACAAACAAGTTTGAAACCGTTAAAAACAAAAACAAAATAAAAAAATATTTTTTTCTGAATATCAGCCAGCTGAAAATATAGATATCTAGTAAATCATCTCTCAGAAACATTTATATATATATATGTATTTAATTCTAACTGAACATTGTACAAAAAACAAGGAAAAAAAAAAAAACATCTGGAAGAATGTAAAAATTATAAAAAAAATTATATGACATCATTTTCATGTTAAACTCCATCTTTTATCAGATAAAAAAATGTGGAACATTATATTAAATGCAAGGCGTAAGAGTGAAACAATTTTTCCTAAAAATAAAATAAAAACAACAACATAGGAAAAAGGATACACCTTGACTTAATTGAGAATAGTTTTGATCTTTCATCACAAACTTACAAAACTCAATTATAATTTTTTTGCACAGAATGCACACGATTTAAGCCAAATATTCAATTAAACGGAATAGCCATCTGTGGAGCCAAAAAAGTAGGATAAAATAAATAAAGAAATCACCCAAAGAATAAATTTCCCACCTCATTGAATCAATATGGGGTTATTCACCAAGTGAATTGTGGAGGAAACTTCAATGCCTAGACCACAATATTCTCCAATTCTGCAAGTTACAACCAAAAATTCACAATTTCCTTGCTATTTCTCTAGAATTCCTAATTTAGTGAAGAACCCCAGGTGTGTTCTCATGATTCTATACATCAGTTTATTTTTTTTAGGAAGCAGTCCAACAGGAGTGGACCTAAGCCATTCTAATAATGAAACCATCCGATAATATGCGTCTGAGGAGAAACTGCTATTAGCAACAATATAAAACACACTTTCGAAAACACAAAACATAACAAAATAGTGTTGGATCCAGCCTCAGTACATTGGATGTGTTTTTACTCTAATTTCACCAGATGTGAGCTATCGTATAAATAAATAAAAAAAAACACAAAAAAAAACCATTTGTATAAAAAAAAAAATCCTAGGCTTTTTGTTGTACTGTGAAGTCCTGCTGTTACTAGCCCATTGGCAGGGAAGAAAAGAGGGGCAAAAGTATTGCTCAGGCATTAGGTCATAAGCCTAAGGGTAAAATAAAGAGTTATTCTCTAAACTCTGATGTTTTGCTAATTAATTCCTAATGGAAGAACCCTGGGGAAATTATCCAAGTTGAAACTATGGTTGAGTTGCAGCATTTTTTCCAGATCAGTCTTTTCATTTGGATCAAATTTGTGAAAAAATAGTTTAGTGAATAATCCCATAAAAGTGGAAGTATATAAATATTTTTTTTAGAGGGTTTGCTGGAAAGACAATGGTTGAATGGGCAGGAACGCATAACTTTGAGTTAGCACAATATAAAAAAAAAAAAAAATAAAAAAAAAATCCCACCACTACCCTGCAGTTTAAAATGATAAAACTGTTCTTTATGTACGTTTCACTGTTTGCCAAACAAAGAAAAAAGTGCCGGGCTATTTATGAAATAGTACTCATAAGGATCACTCGTAACAGTACTTATTAAACAGTACCCAGAGGGAACACACTTAACAGCGAATGCAATGTTATCGAAGGGATAGTGCTACCAACAGGGGATATATTCTCTTGCCATCAGACAAGGCTAAAATAAAGCTAGTGGCTCTCACTTCTTAAAGTAAAAAGGAGTAAATACCACAATTAACAGCCTTGTGTGTCTAAATGTAGAATTCCCACTGGGTAATTGGAATGGTTCACATTGTATTTTGATTGGCGTGTTTGAATAAGGCCAGGCTGGGGCTCTGCAATGCTGACCAGTGATTCATTCTGCTCAGATCATAATCCCAGCCACATAACAAGGAATCCTGCCTCCAATAAAACTAACTTGTGACGAGTAAGAAAATGAAGCAATTGGGCGACAATAGTTTATTTTTCAAGTCAATTCCATAAGGATGGAATAGTGAGAATCGGTGTCACCGGACCGGTGGCCTTTGGTGATAATTCACCGCTTCTAATGGAATCGGTAGATTTTCAACCATAAAATGTCACCACTACAAACAGTAGTACACAGCACTCACAGACATACAGACACACACTCACCCTAACATAAAGGCACTCACAGACACCAGCACACACACACAGCTGCTCAAATTATTACAATCAGTGTATCCATATAGAAATAGTTTAAAAACCATGTATGAGAAAATTTACAGAAACCATTATTAATGCTGTACATTATGCATTCACAGTGCATAACGATTTACAATCATAAAATAAATTTACATCAGAGATAAGTGGATTTTATACCAAAATAAGAATATTTGGCTGCAGGAGAAGTCCTGATTCAAAGTGATGTCACATGTACACAATTCGACACCTTTCATGCATCCAGTAGTCTAGATTTCAGAACCTTTATATTAATTTTCAATTTCTTCCAGGAAGTATTATACGAATAATTTAAACATTTACAAAAACAGAATGGTGTTTTATTGTTTAAATAATTTTACATGTCAGATGGATAGCATTGGAAGTTGTAACTGGTTCTCAAAGCATTAATAAATGCAAAGGTAAACATCACAATGGCAAATGTCTGCCCAATACAAAAACCTCAGACAATCTGCCTTCAGGATAGTGTTCCAAAGATAATTGTAGGAACCGCACTCAGCAGCCACCGGTGCTCTGGAACAGGACCAGCAATCCCAACACATCAAGGCAAAAAAAGAAATATCCGGGCACTCAAGTGTTGAAGCCACAGGCAGGTTTTAATGGAACAAAGAGCAGCAACGTTTCGACCTTCACAGAGGTCTTTCACAGAAGTCTTTTTCAAGCTTGAAAAAGACCTCTGTGAAGGTCGAAACGTTGCTGCTCTTTGTTCCATTAAAACCTGCCTGTGGCTTCCACACTTGAGTGCCCGGATATTTATTTTTTCAGGATAGTGTTAGGCATTAAAAACTAATGTTCTGAATTTAGAAAATAAAAATAATAATACAACTCTGTGCTTAGAATTCAGCTTAAACTCAAACTAGAATGGAGGCTACAAGAAACATTAACTTAGATTTTAGGCCAAATTAGCAAAATTCTCTGTTTGCATTTTGGATAATTTGGACAAAATATTGAAAGTCCACTTGAATTCCTGACAATTCCATGTTTACTGAATAACCCTGGTAGCGATGCTTAACCTTTCCACTCAGAGTTTTTGATTTGGGAACTAAATGTCACGTGATGCTCAGACAGCCTCTAGAACAGTCACTTTAATATTTTATTTATAAGGCTACAAACTGCTGATGTAGATGATGGACAGTCAACATAGCAGGCAGAGGTTTTAAAGTTGAGTAAGCATCATGGGATATGTAGTTAGACATCTGAAGAGCCTTAAGTACTTCAATTGGACCAAAAAAAACAAACCACCATAAAAATCACATTTCCATTGTTTAAAAAAAGTCACCTGTTTTGGATCTCTAGTTTTTAATCTCTATCGTACGGAAGACATGATAAAAGCAACATAGAAACTCTAGGTAGTTTAAAACTACAATTCCCATAATGCTTTGCCAGCCTTTAGGTGAAGACAAGCATTGCAGCTAGTCATATCAAGGTGATTTTCAAGCGGACATGCATGCAGAAACGATATGATATATAAGCTGCAGAATTATCACACGAGGAAATAGACGTTTAGGTTTTCATGCGTTGTATAGCAAAATTCTGATAGTAAACGCACAGAAACAAAATTGTTCCCATTTCCCACCTGACAATTGAACCAGAACCCTTTAAAGGGCAGTCATGGTTTATACACATTTAAACATATATGTGAGAATGACAACATAACTTTGGGACTGCCAATGCACATGATTTAAGATGCCGCCAATTAACAGCTAATAATGGACATTGCTAAACATTGTACCAAGTACTATGCCTAAACTTTGCTTTGTATCCGGCCTTTAAGAACACGATCGAGAGAAGTATGCACACAGCAGTAGATTCTAAATTCACGTTTTCCCATAAAAAGTTAACACTGGATTATCAAGATTTGACAACTTCGGATTGTGTACAGATTCCAGATATATATATATGCCAACATGATACAGTTCATTAAGTTAAGTTGTGTCTATATAAAAAGTTAAAATAACATTTACAGAATCTATTTACAGTTTTAAAGAGATTTAAATACATGATCTTTGCTACTCTAATCCATTCAATGTACCAATAACAAAAAATGCCAATTTGATGGGAATATGTGGAAACATGAAAAGAGAAGAGAAGGAAAAAAAGTAAATAACCACCTCTACCCATCTTAGTTCTTACGCAAAGTGTGTACTACACCCACAATGTTTCTCGTGTACACAAAACTATCAGACTTCAGATGGAATAAACAGGCAGACAAACAAACGTGGGTCTGTGAGCACCAAGGATTTAGAGCACTGGAAAGCCTTGTGTTTGGTATAAAGGACTTTCTCAAGTTCCCTCAAACATGGGTTAAATATAGGCACAAACTCCCATCGAAGAACCGCAGGAAGTGCGCAGATTAAGTTTATCGCTAATCAACCAGTGTTATACTGCATACATTTTTGTTTGCTCTGGTTTAAAGCGGTATTACATAAAGGTCTTAAACATGCGCCATGCTATTTCACACAGATAGAACAATCTTTGGCATTCATAGAGTTCAAAGTGCCTTTTAGAGAAAAACAAAAATCAAGTTAAAAGCCATGTAACTCTCAATGATGTGGAAACATCTAAAAGGCCATTAGAACAAGTCCTAATTTTGAGATGTCAGGCTGGGTCAGCATATTTTTAGATGAGCAGTATGGATCAATACAAAGGTTAGGTTATAAAATCCACACAAAATGGGGGCGAGTTTACAAAATATAAAATCTAATGAAGAAAAAAAAACAAAAAAACAACAACAAACGTATACACTGGCCATTAACCCCTTAAGGACCAAACTTCTGGAATAAAAGGGAATCATGACATGTCACACGTCCTTGAGGGGTTAAAGTGAACTGATTACCTACAAGTGTATGGGTTGCCAGGTCTCTAATACCTTTACAGGGGGTAAAATCAATAAGCTTGCAGAAATAGCATCCTGGGATTGCGCTTGCAGCATTGTGGGATGCATCAACTGTGCCCACATGAAGCCAGCAGCATTGATTAGAAATTTATGCAACGGACTGAGAGAATAAATCTTAATATTCTCGGGAATACAAAGCAGATGCCAATTTTTCGACACAGGTGTATATATATATATATATATATATAAAAAATAGACTGGAAAATAAACTGCACATTCAGTGTCCCATAGCAAAGTAGAGTTATAGATGACTTGTTGTTTAAAGAAAAAGTAAACCAAAAACCACCTAGGGGGTGTTTATACACATATACGATTATGGAACAAACATCAAAAAGGACAGTATTTACAGACAAAAAAACAAACATTAAAAAAGGCACTAGTTATAAACAGCTAAAGACCTGTGACAGTCAATAATGGCTTCCGAAACGGACTGGGCGAGTACTGCTTAAATCACAAAACCAAGACGTACAGAGCGGAGACCAATAACAGTTTTCATGTCACAATAATTACCAGTAAAAACATTCTTAAACAAGTCAATACCTGCAACTCTCTGATCCGAATCTGTGCAAAAAATATACCGTGCCCGGTTACCTGCGTGGGTTAATCACATACACTACCAGAACGATGAGTAACAATTTGCTTTTGTATTTTTGCACAGGTTCGGGTATTCTAATGGTTAAAGCTCACAACAGACAATGATTGCAATCAGTGCAAAAAGAGAAGGGATGTGAATAACATAAATCACCATCCAAAGTAAAGAAAACAAAATAAAAAGAAATTAAAGGGACACTATAGTCACCAGTGCAACTACATGTATTCCTGACCCTATAGTGTTAACACCACCATCTAGCCCCCTGGGCCCCTCATGCCTCCATAAAAATAGTAAAAATCTTACTGTATTCAAGCCTGAAGCTGTAAATCTGCATTCTGTTAGACTCAGGAAAAACAAGCAGTCTGCTGACATGTGAAAGCCTGATCCAATCACAGTGCTTCCCCATAGGATTGTCTGAGACTGACAAGGAGGCAAATCAGGGGCGAAGCCAGCACAATTCAAACACAGCCCTGGCCCTGAACTGAATCAATGAATCTCTATGAGGAAAGTGCCGTGTCTGCATGCAGAGGTTGGAGATACTGAATCACAGGATGCTCATGCACAGCAGATCTGAGTGGATGGAGGCATATTATGCCTCCATCAACTCAGACGTCCCTCTGGTTCACTCTGAGTGACTGCAACTGGAGGTGTTCCTAGCTTTCAATGTAAACACTGTATTTTCTCAGAAAATACAGTGTTTACATGAGAAAGGCTGCAGGGAGCTATAGTTCTCACCTGAACAACCTCATTAAGCTGAAGTTGTTCAGGTGACTATAGTGTCCCTTTAAAAATGTATGGTGAAATTTCCCTCCTTACCCTTGACATTTTAACAATTCAGAATCTCCAGTTGCATGCATCTTTTATCACAGACTATTCAAATGATCACAGTGTGTTTTCAAAAAAAGGATTTATCTAAAAAAACATTAACTTCACAGATTGTGAACCATTTGCAAAGCGTATCCAAATATCGTAGCGCAGAGCACTGAAAGATTTGGATCAGCTTCTAGCAAGCAATAAATAGATCAGCAGACTGCTAAAAATGTGGTTCTATCCATGGTGACAAGAAATTTGATAAAATGCTCTAGTCCACTAGTTGAAATCCCCATTAGACTGGGCTCAAGCGGAATTAAAAAGAACATGCCAGCTTTATGTGTACATGTGGAGGGCACATTGTATGGAGCTAATTAAGTTAATGCAATTAGTGCATTTGTGAGCTTCCCTTGATGCTGTGCATGGGTCACAGTGCCTAGCAAGGAGCTGTGTGTAAAGTTGCGCACACCGCTGTGGTAATCACATGTCTATTAATATGATTACATCACACTTGCCCCTTCTCTAAAACGTGCATTTTGCATTTAACCTACAAAACGTATTTTCCCGAAAATCTCAAAATATTTAAACATCTGCTTTAGTAATACTGGCAGGCAGACAAAGTGTTGCCCTGAACGAGTTACCGTATATTTTGGATAGGTTATTACAGTTACATCAACTGACTGTACCGTGAATTCCAAGTGAATTCTTTGTACCAGAAATATTAACTAATTTTCTTGTTAAAGTGCACCAAATGTCATTGTTACAATTCTATTGTCCTCTAGTTGTAAAGACCACAATAGGTCTCCAAGAGTGAAGCGTTTGCTGCACCGGTCACTTATCCAAATGACCCAGCAAAACCTCGCAAAAGTGCCCACACACAAGGAACTTGGAGATAAGGCATGCGTAATATGGGGTGCACATCCAATTGTGAATATCATAAGGTGAGCAAGCAATATCCAGGTAAGTATATCTTTTACACTATACACGCACATTAAATGGTTTACTATCAATCGCTGATGACAGGGTCACTTTAAAGTAAACACTGGAATGCATCAAATTCTCCCCTCCTTGGGGATCCTTCGGACATCTGATGTAATGTGTATACTCGTATGTAGCTGCAGAGCTATTCTTTACGGCTTATAACACATATGGCTGGTTTATTCACTAAACTAGAAGTTAAGATAATGACAATCTTACAGGAATTTAGGCCATGTTAAAGTTGGGAGTAGAGAGGAGAAAAGAACAAATTGGTTTTCAAGTCACCATAACCTTGCATTTAGCGAATAAACCCCCAAACAAGAAACTACAAACACTGAAGACACACATTGTGTGGCCATGATCTGGAATAAACAGAAATTGTTGGGAGACACCACATAGATGCACATCATTTAAGATCCTCTCAGAAATGTCCAACTGTAGCCTAAATTTCTAAAACCAATTAGCTACGCAATTCATTAAATTAAAAAAAAAAAAAAAAAAAAGTATTTATTTGTTTAACAGCAAGTTTTGACAAATGCAGCTCAATTTACTAAAAATCGGTCCTTAAAGGACATTCTGGGACCAATAAATATTTTGCAGTATGCTGCCTCTTTAGCCACACCCACGCACTCCATAAAAGACTTCCTTATCAAAGAGGTACGCACATAGCCAAGTCACAGACAGTACTGAATTATCTAAAATACAAAACAACATGTATGAGAAGGGAAGTACACACAGGGAGACCTACAGTAAGGATATCACTACCTGTTTGCAGTTTCTCTGACTGTCTGCAGACAGCATCCATTTGATAAAGAAGTCTCTGTGTAATGAGGGTGCATGGCTACGGAGGTAGGCTTACCGTGCAGAAATCTACAAAACAGTTATTGGTCCCCGGAGTGTCCCTTTAACCCCTTACGGACCAAACGTCCAGAATAAAAGGGAATCATGGCATATCACACGTCATGTGTCCTTAAGGGGTTAAGTATTGTAGAATTACGAAATATAAATACTGCCTTTTTCAGCAAAGAAACTAGCATTTCTGCTTCTGTTAAAATTAACCTGAGAGCCAAAAACCTTTGCAACATATATTTGGTTGAATTTTCAAGTAAAATCCTAAAGAGAATCTAAATGAAAATGTGTTTACACCTTAAAATACATGGCGTATGTTGGAGTAAAACAAGCATTAGACGCATTTTCTTTGATCTAGAACCCAAGAGGAACTCATCAGGTCTCAGTGGCCACATAGTCTCTTCTAAATAATCATTTAAGTACATCTGTCACCTAAAAAATCTGCAGAAATTGCAGTTTAGACATATTAAGTCTGGTAGTTAATTATTTCTACTCCGATGTGACAGACAAATCCAACAATTCTATTTGCACCCCCCTCTCCCCCCCTTACCCTTACCCCTAGGTGTTCAATGGATGGATTAATTAAATGTCCAGACATGCTGGCCCATTCCAGTGGGATTAGGCATTAGAAAGCAGATATCCTTTATGTATCAGGGTTTTTCAGATCATTTTCATAACTTATTCCTGGTGCCACGTAATTAGTGCAATATTGGAGCCCATTGTTCCCCTCTTCCTTGAATGTGAGAAATTACATTAAACCAGTTCATCAGAACTTAACCGTAGGAACTTAAAATATCTTTAAAAAAAAAACCAAAAAAAATGAAATTGGCACCTTATAGGAAGTTTTTTTGACTACAGAAGGCTGTGTTTGGAAACAATGGGTGTAGATTCCCTTTAACCGTTCTAGAAAGGTTCCTCTAGGCTTCTTTGCTAAACCGTCTTATTACCGTAGCACTCCTACGCAGGCTTAATAAGGTTATCGTGAAGTTAGAAGAAGGCAGGATTAAGAGATAGATACTCAAACCTGATTAAGATATTAAAGTTCTGATCCCAAGCAATTGCTTGAACCAGGTGTAATTGTACCACTGGTTGTCCTAAGAAAAATAAAGCAAAACAGAGCTGCCTCGGATCAAAACCAAAACGTACAGATCCGCATGTACGAGTCGTTCACAACTAGGAGTTTTGGCCTTTTGAACCTGTAGGTTTTTTGTATTTTTTTTTTTTTTTACCAGTGGAAAAGGAATGGAAATTGTACTAAAGTGCTTAGACTGGGGACAAACGCAGCAGTACCATGAATAAAAACAAGTACCAAGTGTTGAACGCAAAAAGTCCTGTCCACATACACAAATAAAAACATAATCTTCAGGTCTCCACGAAGATCAGAATCGAGAGGACAGCATGAATCTCTCTTGTCATTCTTTTTTGTGTGTCCAATTGGCTTTTAAAGTGCCATCACCTTTGGAAGAAAGGAGAGAAAACTGCCACAAAACAGAAGATGTGTTAAAGCCAAGTCGCTAGTGATACTGGGCGAATGTGTGCCTCAGAAGTTCCTCCGCGGAGGGTCTCTGTTTGGCCTCTACAAAAATCTTTTTCAGAAAATCCCGGCAATGCTCCGAAACGTGCGCTGGCAGCTGAGGGTTGGTTTGCTGCGTGGCGATTTTAAAGATTGCAGCCATGGCTTCAAACTCTGCCCAAGGAGGTTTCTCTGTTAGCATTTCCACAACAGTACATCCGACACTCCTGAAGAGTAAAGATAAATATTATTACCAAGCTTGTATCTAGTGACAACACGAGTATTCATTGAACATTTCTCTCACTAAGTCACCTTCTCCCAATGGAGCCAATTCTGGGACAGGAGATTGTAAGGAATGATACAGGAGTTACAGATATCAGGTTTTGGGGGTTTAACGGAAGAAAATAAGTTATTTATATTCGATTTTAGATTTTTGAGGAATTTTAACTTGTTTATAAATACTATACTAGTATAGTATTACCATCTATAAAATGAAATATCTGTGTGCAGTCACAATGAGTAATTCCCTTTGACAGACCAAGTGGTGAAGGAGCAATAAAAGAAAACAGACACCTTTCAATTCATAAACCAATACGTGTGAAAAAAGTGTCGCTTGCATGCAAATAAACCATAATTTTGCACTATCCAATTATTTGCATTATTGCACTAATTTTCATATATCTATATGAGAACTGGCCTTCCCCATTTTGTACCTATAGGATGAGTGTTGGTTCTAGCGCTGCACTTTAGAGTTTCTTGGGTCAGGGCACATCACCTAAACACTGAAGTATTCGTTGTGATTTTAACCTTTCAGTTAGGATCATAAAAATCTGATCTGATTATCTCCGCCAGGTAGGCGGACACCTACATAGGTAGGGAAACACTATAGTATTAGGAATACCTATATGCATTTCTTTAAGTTTGGGCCATGGCAGGGGTCTCCTGGCACCACTGCCACAGTGGTTATGGCGCTTAGTGTCCCTTTAACAGCATGAACACTAAAGCCCGGCAATGCTCCGAAACGTGCGCTGGCAGCTGGGGTTTGCTATTTGCGCAATGACTAGGTGCACAGATTTAGCCCACCAGATATCCGCTTTCCTCCCGTAGCCCTCTCCACTGATAACTTCTGGACTCATCCAGTAAGGAGTCCCTGTGACTGACTTCATCCCAGTTCCTGAAAGGCAAATGGTCTGAAGTCGCTTGCTAGCACCAAAATCACCCAATTTTACGTTTCCTGATGAATCTCGCAGAATGTTTGCGCCTGTGAAACAGAAAATATATAATCAGAGCTGTAACACAAAGTCAGGAGTATCAAACTAATTACAGAATATCCCCACACAAAACACCAAAAACAAACAAAATATACATAGAATTTATGATTCACTAACCAGGTGACAACACTATTCTCTGGATGCTGAATTGTAGGCAAATATAGTTGATACGGGAACAAAATTCTCCAACTCTGCAAGAGTCACAGTTTGACTATTCTAGCCCAAAGTTTTCAGTTTGGTTTACAATTAAAGGACCACTATAGTGCCAGGAAAACAAACTCATTTTCCTGGCACTCTAGTGCCCTGAGGGTGCCCCCACCCTCAGGGTCCCACTCCCGTGGCACTGAAGAGGGAGGAAGCGGTTAATCCCTTACCTCTTTTCCAGCGCCGGGCTCCCTCGGCGCTGGGGACTCTCCTCCCTCTTCTGTCATCGGCTGAATGCGCATGCGCGGCAAGAGCCGCGCGTGCATTCAGCCAGTCCATAGGAAAGCATTCTCAATGCTTTCCTATGGACGCTGGCATCTTCTCACTGTGAAAGTCACAGTGAGAAGCGCGGAAGCGCCTCTAGCGGCTGTCAATGAGACAGCCACTAGAGGCTGGATTAACCCATAGGTAAACATAGCAGTTTCTCTAAAACTGCTATGTTTACAGTAAAAAGGGTTAAACCTAGATGGACCTGGCACCCAGACCACTTCATTAAGCTGAAGTGTTTGGATGCCTATAGTGGTCCTTTAAGCATCCAGCAAATAAACTATAATTTTAGAGAGTGGTCTAAAATCTTTTAATCGTTTAAATACGTTCTCAGTCTGGCTCAGGACAGGACAAACCTTTGATATCTCTGTGAACAATCATGTTACTGTGCAAATAATGAACACCCTCGAGGATCTGCCGGGTGTACTTTCGAGTTACATGTTCAGTAAGTGCGCCATATGCCTTGAGCTGGTCTTTTATAGATCCCTGCAGCCAACGAAAACAAAGTAAAAATGGTTACATGTGTGAGTTTTAAATTCTAATACTGAAATTTAGTAAATAAAAGAATTTTTTTAAAACAGAGCCAAAGTGTGATTAGTCAGGAATGCAAAACAAAATAGAATTTAAAGATTTAGGCACAAAAGGCTAAATAGAAATAAAAATATTTAGTTATATTTTGCTAAATTCTGAAGCTCACTTTGACTTTACACATGGACATACACTGCATGCTATAAATCACAATATTGGCTCTCAGTGCAGTATGAATTATATTGAATCTATAATTTAATATCCCATTTCTGGGTCTACTTTAAATGATAATAAATGGGAATCTGCTCCATTGTATCCAATTAATCAGATTACTGGTCCATTTAATCATGTAACGCAGTATAGTTTCCTGTAGGTGTCTCAGCGCCTGCTTTTGGATGGGTAGAAACAACTTGACATAAGAGGCATAAATACTGAATGGTTAGTCAATGCAGCATTGTAAAATAACATTTCTTTAAATAGTGATAATTTATGATGCAACACAGAGATGTTGTTTCAAGTTTAAAAAGGCTCCTGACACGTAAAATGTTAGGAGCAATGAGTAGCTTGTGTTTGTTATATTACCATCCATTAGAAGGAGGAAGAAAGGAACAAACGTTTGCTCCATATACTTAATACACTTTTCTATCTTCCTCTGATTCCAAATATACAGCCGTGCATGTTGACATGACAGCGATAAAAACTGAAGTGACCGTGATTCTTGGATGGTGAGAGTTCAATGCAGAAGAAGCAAAGCCTGTGGTTATGCTGCAAATGCAGGAACTGCAGATATAATTATTAATATGTTTAAATTTGTGTTTATGCAAATGTATTTACAAATATATTATCTATATAATGCAAAGAGCAATTTATGGATATAAATTTTTATATATTTTTTTTACAGTATAGTAGATCTACTCCCACAGCGTCTCCATGAGACGGGGGTGGGGAGGCACCTGCTGCTTCCATTAGGAAGTGAAAGAAAACCTCCCCAGTGTTTAGGCAAAATGTATAAAAATGTTATTTTAAATTCAGCATTTTTTATAAACAGTTACAAATATGGAGTGCTCGTTTCCGTTGAGTCAACTCCACTTTAAAAATAAATATAAATAATTAAATAAATCAAATTCTTACCCCTGGCATGTACTCCATAAATATGGACAGCGTCTTTTCTTGTGAATCTCGCAAGCAGCCATAATATTGAACAATTCTCTCATGCAAGAGGTTCTTCAGCAGCTGAATTTCACACTCCAGAGCATTTACCTCCTAAAGTTAGCATAAAATTTATAAAAAAAACAAAACAAACAAAAACTTTTATCCCTAAATTTGCATGAGCGTACACAAAACATCAGAACTGCGTAAATTAGACACAAGTTGAGAGCAAGTGCAGACACATTACACACACACAGTGAAATAAACACACTGAAAAGTCTGAAGCCTGTCAAATCCAAAGACCCAAGAATGTGATATCTCAGCCAGCAGTTTTAGTTTTTCATTGTAAGCTCAATGAGATCACGCCATGGTTCTCAAGCCAATTTCCAGGAGGCAGGACGCTTTGTGGCACATAAAAAGTCAGCCTGGCTTTGTGTTTAAAGAAAAATGAATAAAGTGAAAGTGCTGCAGCTAATGCAGCAATTCAGGTTTATCTCACTAGGTCAAAGATGGAACCTGGAGTACAGACCTAGAATCAAACATCAAGTAAATCTGTGATGTAATCTATACATCAACTGATGATATATCACAACATATAGATTAAAGCAGGGCTTAAAATGTCAAGTCCTACGCTAGCAGCTAGGCTTTAAAAAAAGTACTTACCCCTGCAAGCCTGGAGGGTCCATTGCACTTCTACTCGCCGAGACTAAATGTTTACTCGTTAATGGCTAATGGCAAGTGGACATTTTGAGCCTTGTTTAAAGGTTACAATTCTGCAGAGAAGATGATTAGTGGTTCATGTGCCCACTTTAATAAAACGCAGATCACTGTTGTGAAATTTTCTACCTCTGTGTCAGTGTCCATCAGAAACAGAGAGGTTGAGAAAGTATCTGAATGAGATGCAAAACAAGTCAAGCTATTTATGTCTTAAATCTCCTCCCCCACCCCGGTTTACGTAGGCACATGTAACTTGCTCATGCAGTGCCATTTGTTTAACCCCTTAAGGACACATGACATGTGTGACATGTCATGATTCCCTTTTATTCCAGAAGTTTGGTCCTTAAGGGGTTAAACAGCAGTGTCATAAACAAAAGCACAAACAATGGGACTAAGCAAAAAGTGTTTTTTCTGACACTCAGTCGGCATACAAATTATAGAAAAATAACAATGGAATCAATGGAATTATGGCCTTTGCCATTTTATCAAATGCCTGTATCTCACAAGCAGTAACAGCGAACAAGACTGGATAGTTGCATAAAAAACAAACATTCTTCTCATCAGCTGGTAATTTGAGAAACCTTTCCTATGATCCAGCAATATCACCAAGATGCCAGTCGTGTCCTTAGGGAGTGAGGTGGTTCAGGATCTTACCTTACTCGTTTCCGGACTGTCTGGGTCAAACTGGACTTGTTTCACAGCCAACTCTCGGCCAGTATCGGCGTCATAGCACAGGAAGACTCTGCCAAAAGCCCCCTGGCCCAGCAGTTTGCCAAGCCTCCAGTTAGATGGTGCACGTGGCGCTGAAGTAGGAAAGGGAGGAGAAGGGGAAATAAATATTTAGAAGGGTAACTCAGGGTTGGGTGCAGTGTCTCTGCAAACAGTTAGTGCGACACAAACAGGTACAACAGTTTTATAAAAAGATTAACACTATTTATCAAGTGAGAACATATTCCATAGAGTTGTACAAACAGCTTAGATAGCATACACGCCGTGGAAACATTTTGTGCTAAATATAATTTATGCAAGGTATCAATGAGTTATAAATACTATATTCTTCACTACATTTTGCATTTATGATATTTTAAAATACTGCACATTTGTACAAGTGTATTTTTATGCTTTGCATGCGACATCCAAGTGTGTTTATTTTAGCTGTGCTTATCGTATTACGTTCAATAGTACTTCGGGAGTTAAATAGATTTGATCCATGTTAGATTTACTTACATGTTTGGGGATAGGTCACTGCAGATGCTGCACAGTCTACAGATATGCAGCAAATGCAGGAGCATCAAATAAAAGTAGGTTTTTTCCCCCCCATTACCATTATTGCAGATATTGAAGCATTCTACGTATAATGCAGTGTTACAATAAATGAGAGTTAACTCCAGCTTGGAATGTGTGTTTACGTAGTGACAGAATTCTTTCAAAGACACAGCGACTGGCTGCAATGTGACTGTTACTTACACCGGCTGGGTGGACTGATGTCCATTACAGTCAAGGTTGGGTTATCTATGTCGCTGCCTCTTCTCCTCGGGCGGCTGTCCTCATACTCTGGAGTGAAGACACTACTACCACTACTTGTACTCAGCGAGTGATCTGTTGGGCTGAAACTGACTGGGGATCGGAAAGTGTTAGCTTGGGTCCGTCGGGCTCTTGGGAAGGTTTTGCGCCCTGCGTAAACAAACAACAAAGCAGAAATCAACCACATACCTTAACTGTTTGGAAAGGGTAAAAAAATTAAATAAAATTTCTCTTAGGAATCTGGTTTTGTGATGCGATCTGTATGAATATGTATCACCTTCATATGTATACGGAGAGTTGTAATGCCACTTACATTTTTTAATGATACTATGAGTGCACCTTCTATATATAAAGATTTTTAAATGCAAGTTTTGGGGGTTTATTTTATGACATTATGTAGGGAAAAGAGCATTTCATGTAACTGTATTATAGCAGCACTGAGCAGAGAGATTTAAAGGGATACTGTAGGCACCCAGACCACTTCAGCTAGTTGAAATAGTCTGGGTGCTGTGACCCTTTTGCAGCTCAAAGTCTGCCCTCTGTGGCTGTCTAATAGACAGTCACTAGAAGGCTTCCGGAATCCAAACAGACTTTTGGTACGTTATCTGACGGACCTCCAGCGTCAGATTTTCCCCATTTGGGAGGTTTAATGCGCGCGGCCATTGAGTGGGCTGAACCTGACCCAGCGCCGAGGGACATTGGCGCTGAATTCAGGTAAGTGGCAGAAGGGGTTTTAACCCCTTTAACCCCGCAGGAGAGGGGCCCCAAGGGAGGGGTTCAACTCCAGGAGCCTATAGTCCCAGGAAAACTGGTTGTTTTCCTTGCACTATAGGATCCCTTTAATGTCTTTATAAAATGCTGAATTTGCTTCATTAATAGCAACAACTTATTGCCAAAGTGGACAGATTTAACACTTTAGAATATTTTTTTTTATGTTTATTAGTGGAGAGGTTCATGCTAGCTGTTGCTTTATTAACCAGTCTTCATGCCAACAGGTGATGTGGGAAATGGAGGCTCATTTAAAGAGTTTGTGTAAAAATCTTTTACAAATCAACTTTGCACCAATAGGGCTCTTTGATAAATATTTGCTCGTCTTCTTCGTGACCCTTTTTCATAGCAAGCCTGAAATTACAGCAAATTAGCAGAGCGGCCCTCACCATCACTATAATCCTGGTGGTGATATGAAACATGGTATCTTCGTGGGTACGTGCCACCTTTCCCAAACTTCTCAAACACTGGAATGTCATACTCTAAAAAGGACAATAATTTTCAAAGTGTTAGAAAAAAGCAAAACAGCATCCGCCAAGCACAAACAGACCGTTGTTTTTTGTAAAGTCAGAGCAATGGAAAGAGAACACAGCAAGGATACAACAAGTTAACTACTAGCAAATGTATCAATAAAATGGCATTCCTTTTTACCAGCAGGGATTGGTAGATAGTAGACATGGAAGAAAACAGCTGTCATGAAACGGAGACTGAAACTGTTCTGATCAGGAAACTGAACGGAAGAATAAGTCCTTTGCTTTCTCTCTGGCACGCTTATCAGAGTTTTGAAAAATACTACACAAGGCCAAAAATCTACACAAAATCTTCAATATAAAAAAAATGCAGTCCTGACTTAATGGGACACTATAGTCAACTGAACAACTTTAGCTTAATGAAGCAGTTTTGGTGTATAGAACATGCCCTTGCAGCCTCACTGCTCAATCCTCTGCCATTTAGGAGTTAAATCCCTTTGTTTATGAACCCTAGTCACACCTCCCTGCATGTGACTTGCACATCCTTCCATAAACACTTCCTGTAAAGAGAGCCCTATTTAGGCTTTCTTTATTGCAAGTTCTGTTTAATTAAGATTTTCTTATCCCCTGCTATGTTAATAGCTTGCTAGACCATGCAAGAGCCTCCTGTATGTGATTAAAGTTCAATTTAGCGATTGAGATACAATTATTTAAGGTAAATTACATCTGTTTGAAAGTGAAACCAGTTTTTTTTACATGCAGGCTCTGTCAATCATAGCCAGGGGAGGTGTGGCTAGGGCTGCATAAACAGAAACAAAGTGATTTAACTCCTAAATGACAGTGAATTGAGCAGTGAAATTGCAGGGGAATGATCTATACACTAAAACTGCTTTATTTAGCTAAAGTAATTTAGGTGACTATAGGGTTCCTTTAACATTGTGCTAATAAATGGCAGCCATGTACTTTAGTGTTGTGGTTTGCAATAAAATGTATTATAATATCACAAGCATGGTTTTACTCAAACTAAATAACTGGTGCTATACAGAGCGTTACATAACGGCACTATGGATGTTCCAGACTATGTACACCAGTACACTCAGCCAGCCAGATAATGCCAAAGATAGACATTACATCACTGCTTACACATTAATCACAATAACAGCTTGCCAACATCACCTGGAAAATATGTAGCTGCCAATTCAACATAGCTAAGTGGGAGGGATTAAACGGCACCATGGGTGCTACATAAGCATTTAACAGTCATGTCTTCTTTACCTGAAAGCTCCTGGTAATTATCTGGGTAGCTCTGAGCTCTCGGCATTCGAGATTTCGGATAACTCTCTCTACAAAATAAAATTAAAACAAAAAAAAAATGATTGTTTAACCCTTCAGAGAACAAATGGAGCAGAAATCTCCATACATAGAGTAGAGATAATGGGGCTGCAAACTATTTAACTAACAATTTATTCCCATTTAACTAACAATTTTACAGTATGGAGGTGGCCATTTTGAAAACCCAAAACAATTCCCGAGTGATCAATGAAAGACACAGCTGACTCCTGGCTGCACCCCTGAAAGCAATTTCAGAGCAGTAAACATGGCTTCATAATAAAATGTCCTGTGAAAATGTTGTATGTAAACTTGAGAAGAACACTATTCTATGAGGGCAGAATTATAACAGGCAAAGTCATGTTGGTAACAAAGAATGACAAGTGGCAAGCATAGGGAACACTTAATAAAATACCAGCAGCCAATCACAAACCAGGCTCTGTACTGTTTTAGTTGATTAGCAGTAAGTATGTCACCGGGCAGGGAAGATAATATGGTATGTTTAAACATTCTAATGATAATTAGGGTAGCTTTCTTTTATGGAACCCATGTCACTTAGAATGTTTACTCTATTTAGGTAAAAAAAAGTATTGGGATTTTAAAGTGGCATGTAAAAGAATGCACAATGCACGTTGAAAGCAGAAAGTACACGATGGAAACTCAGCGTGGGTTCACAAACTGGGTTCACTGTGATGACAAAGATTTGTAAATACCAATTACCAGCACCCATCCAGTGGGTGTGACATGCACAGCCAACATCCTAAGGCAGCACATTAGCAGGTGCTGGCTTTAAATGAAGGGAGTTTAAATTCAATCTGGCAACAGTTTGGTATCAAGCAGTAACACACGCGTATCCTCAGAGAAAGTAAAATATTTCTTCTTTCTGGACACTCAGACTTACCCATCTAAAGGGCTGTCAAGGGATGGACAACTACCAGAGCCAGAGTTTTCAGGGCTGCTCAAAGACAAAGGGTCAAGCATCTACACAAGGAGAGACACAGAGTTAAGTGTTGAAAGATGTGTTCACCTGGCAATAGTTATGGACAGATTCTATAATTATAAATAAAAAATATTTAGGTAACAGAGTCCTTTCTTTATGGTAAGAAGTGTAATTTTTTTTTATCAATGGTAAACTGGTTTTCATCCACACCCCAAACAACCAAATGTAAACCACTGCAGTGAATGTTAGGGAGAGTGGGATAGTAATTTCCCTTCTTTGTAGAGCATAATGCAGATTGGACAGACAGAAATATAGAATAAATTCTAATGGTATCAGATCACATGTTGACCTTAGAATAGACTTGCACAATAAAAGCTAAAACAAGGATGGAACAAATATCCAGTTTAGATATGTCTAAATGGACTGTGACCTTTCCAGAACCTGCCATTTAGTGAATCAAATCTATGGTCAAAATGGTAACACATGTATAGATACAATGCAGCTGATGTATACATCCTAATAAAAAAAAAAAAAAAAATAGATCTTTAAAAAAAAAAGTTTTACTTGGTCCATGCTTTCAGGGATGAATTCCCCTTCGCTGTTTATGCTTGTAAAAGATCCGTTTCGGACACAAGGGTGCAATTCTTCTGGAATGTATCCTGGAGGAGGGGAGGTTCGATCTCCACTATGCGTACCTGGAAATACACATAATGTATATTTCATCGAGATGTAAGGTACAACACTGATAGCATTTAACTCGTTATACAGTGAAACGTTGCTACACTGACCAAGTAAATGCCAGCACCTATAGGAGCCTTACTGTGACCAACAGACGCATTGAGTTTACTTTAGGTGATGGGTAAACATGCCAATACTATATAGACAAGACAGGGAATTTCCACTTTGCCAGTGAGTTTATGCAGAGAAGCAGGAAAGGCCAACAGAACAGTAGATAAGGTTGATTTTCTCTTACTGTGCAGCTTTTACACCAGCACAGCTGAAAATCATGAGATGTTCTACCCCCTGATATGGGAGAATATATAGATATGACACTCCATAGGCTAGTGAGAATGTTTTTCCATTTAGTATTTTTCTGTCCTGTAAAATTTGTGTTCTTATTTTTCAAGGCCTGTGTAAAGTAATTCCCTTGGACTGGTACTAAAATTATGAGCACATGTTAAAAAGGAATCACTCTTTGGAATTTCCTTCATACAGACAGTCTCCCAAGGTCCCTGGTTGGGTATTGTCATTTTCCGAGGTAGCTATCCCAAAAGGTTTTCAGTTCATGTAACAGAAGTTACCTCTTAAAATTGATGTATCATATGATGTTCAATTATAAAGTAACACATAAATATTAATTATGGAATCAGAACAATATTCCACTGGGACTAAGATAATGTTTTAGCTGGGGATAGTGATAAACAGGTGAATTACTGACATTCCAAACATATATCAGCACCTATTAAGTTTCCAAGAGCGGCCAAAGAGAGCATTTACTTTCTTCATTGCATAAGCCGCATGTTCGATCAATATAATGAAAACCTACCAACTATAATAGATGTCTTGCTCTTTCGTTCCACTGGCCCAAAAACGGTATTATCCAGATCCTGCAGAGATGGCTCCAGCTCCATGTCGTTAAACGGAGGGGTCTACAGGGTACAAATACACAGCTTTTCATAGTCGTACAGTAAATGAAACTAAAATGTGCACCTTATATGACCCACACAAACTGACCCCACAGTACGAGAGCCTGAAGCATGTATTTCTGAGAAGGTGGAAATTGAAGCAGGTTTAACCTCAAAGGAACACTACAGCAATAGGAATACAAAAAACTGTATACCTAATGCTACAGTATCCCCCTCTGCTTAATAGTTACAGACTCCTCCCCCAAATCTAATTTAAAAAAATAAAAATAATCAGAAACTCCCCTTTATTTATACCGTGCCGAGAGACAGTCCCTCAAGCCGCTCAACCCACCTCTAACGACGCATGGTAGACTATTCTTGTAGTGCTATACAGTTATCCTCATAGAAGTGGGAATGAAAAGCACAGATACACCCAGCGCTGCGCTCCTCTAATCACATGAAGGTTAGCGGTGAGAGCAGCGCAATCACCTCTACAGACTGTTAGGAAGACAGACACTAGAGGCATATTTAACCTTGCAGAGTAAGCAATTGCAGTATCTACTAAACGCCAATTTACATTGCAGGGTTAAAACGAGTGGACTACTGCATGCCTGAGATGAAATGGTGTGAATGCCTTTAAGAACAACATTACTCAATTAACAATACCTGGTTGGAGCCATGTAGAACCAGCAGTATTCGAAGGCTCTTCATATGAGTGCTTCGATCAAGCAGTTCGACAGCCTTGTCCAGGTCATCCTGCGTTTTTAAGGGAATTACCAGCTAGGAAAACAAACAAGGCCCATTTAAAGTCAAATTCAACAACAAATATGTACAAAACACATCATCCATCTTCCTGATTCTCTGGCACTCTGTACAAAATCTCTGCGTAAAAACAAAAAAAAAAACAAAAAAAAAAAACACATGCCAGCCTGGTGAATCATACTATAAGAGATCAGGCTCAGAGCTGGATTTACTTTCATTAACCCCAACAACCCAGATATCTGGGATCTACATAGCAGGATGATCAGGCATCTTTCCAAACAACATTTTGGGGTGTCAAAGACAGAACTTACAGGTCTATGGATTCACTAGCCATTTCCCACGGAGATATTACGGAGTAATGAAAAGAATGAAAGAAGGGTCCAACAGTAACATAAAATAGAATGTAGGCAGCGCCCAACAAAGGGTAACCCTCAAACCCGCTGAAGAAAAAACATGTGACACAGAAAATAGCAGAGAAAAGGCTGCACCAAGAGGTAGATAGTAATGATAAATCTAATAATATTCACAATACAATATGTGTGGTCCAAATTTGAAAAAAAGAGAACATTTTGCCTGCTTTTACCTTCATGTGACTCCAAGTATATCCTGAGGTGGAGATCATCCCACCAACGCTGATACCATAGTGCAGTTTGCCTGCACTCCACTTGTGAGTACATTTTTATTTATTGCTTATTTTATTCTACTGAGAGCACTATTCGTCACCACCCCTCTGGAGGACTCCCATCACATATCCTTTAAAGCGGGGATTATACTTAAAATGTTTAAATGTGAGTTGACTACATATATCCGTTTATTTTATCTTCACTTGCCTGTACATACTGCACCATTGGTGTTCCTATTCTTGTTTTACATACGAGTAAGGAGGTTGGACACTACACCCAAAATAAACACCTTAAAAAGACATTTACCTCTGTGCGAGACCCAATCTTTGGATCTTATCTAATTTTTTGGTGATTTTATTAGAACTTTAGTCCCACTGGTTCAGTGAGACCACACATTGTATTGTCCTAAAAGTATTGTGAATATTATTTTTATCATTACTATCTACCTCTTGGCGCAGCCCTTTCTCTGTTATTTTCTGTGTTAGATATTACGGAGTGGTTTTTTTTAATGCCAGCAGGAAGCGGTTTGGAAGGTAGCCAGTATCAATAGACTTCCTGCTAAGCCCTGAAGCTATTGAGAAACAGGACAAAGTATTGGTAGACAAATAAGCTTCAAGTTTGAAATCCAATTGTCACACATATCTCACAGATAGTATTCCTTGAGTCAAAATGGAGTCTACCAAACAAAAACTATCACAAGCGTTATCACACAAATAAGGCCACTCAACGTATGTAATGACCTACTGTAGTAAAAATAAAATATATTTTCCATCTTGTTTATGGAATTCTTATAGATGAAGGTAAAGGAATATAGAAACGTTTGATTAACTTAATAGAAAGAAAAAAATAAATACACAAAATGAATCACATGATTTTATTTCGTGGGATACACAAATGACGGGGAACTGTGGGGAGAAAAAAAAAAAGTGAACATTATGATTTTCACATTCGCAAAGAAGAATGTCCCATTGAATTCAGCTTGCTACATGCTTTGGCCGTTCATGGATCAGCTAAAGAGTTACCTCGTTATTGCTGTAATGTAGGTCCATACATTGGCCAAATGCAACCTTCGCCTTTGCAAAAAGGTCTTTAAGCATCACTGGTCGCGGGAACTGTAGGATTCTGCAAATAAATTATACAGAGAGAAGGCATTCTACATTGGGGAAATAGATGCTTGCCACGGTGCCAAACCTTAAGCCATAAATATGCGATCCAAGACAAAGTACAATAAAGCAGATTTACAAATATATAAGTAAACCTCTCGGGGCGCTTTGTAATGGATCATTCGTATAAACAGAGGCTATATTACACAGCCCTTTACAATTCTAGAAAGGGGCTGACAACAAGTGAAGAGGAATTATAGATTTATTGTAAAGCGCTGCGGAATAAGCTGGCGCTATATAAATACCAATAATAATAATAATAATAATCATTTTCTACTGCTATTTTTTTGTTTTACAAAAGTTTAAAAAAATAAATAAAAAACTCTTGTAAACATATTTAACGGGGTTTGCAGGTAATATAATTATAGGTTATCACTACTGTTGTACATATACATTGTATATAACCAGTCAAACAAACCCAACATTCCCCTATACTAAAATTCAACACAAAATCCCCAAATAGCAACCGTGAAAAGTTAGAACCATGTTTTATTATTGATCTAACATTAGCAAAACCCCAGCGAGCCATGTAAAGCGAGACCTGGTGTTATTTCCTATGTGTGTAACACACAGCCTAGTGTTTCCCCAGAATTCATAAGAAAGGCACAGTCTTTTTATTTATTGAAAAATAAAAGCATTCCAGGACATTTCTGTGTAAGTGGTGAGAGGAGAAGATTGCAGGTTATTACAAGTAACCTTTGGTCACTGTCACGGGACTTACGCGTTTTGTCAACACAGCTATTATACCGCCTTGGAGACAGAAAAGAGTGGGGCAAGAGTATACTGGAGGAGTAGTACATATACATTAAAACGTTTAAATTACCTAAATGGACTCCAAGGGGTGCATTGCCTTAACCCCTACATGACAGAGGAAGTTATGCAGCACTTATATCACTGAAGTTGCAGTGTTTTCTTGAATTAATAGCAAAGTTAGTAAGAATTAAAAAAAAAAATATATATATATATATATATTTATATCCCTGCGATCTAAGCTTTGGAGCACACTGAAGATGGGCACCATCCCAAACTGACACGGTGATCTTATAACAACAAAACCTCATAGTGCGTATAACCAATAAACCATAGCTCACAAACCTAAGCTGCTATATATAATTAAATCATATTTTGTCAATAATGTGATCGTCATAGATAGCAGTCTGGCCAAGTTGAAGCTTACAGAATGTATGCACACAAGAAAACAAAATCAGTCCTAGTAGGCATGACATTATATGATGCACGGTGTGCAGCCATGTGTTACGTCGGGGCTCCTCTGTGCTCCCTCGCGCTCTGTAGTGATGCTGGGAGTCGGCATATGATGTCATTCCAGCCCCCCCAGCATCACTGCAGACAGTGCGAGACAGCAGAGAGGAGCTGCAGGAAGATCACTGCTCTCTCGCACACAGGAATAGCAGCTCCACTGGACCCCCAGGGAAAGTCCACTCAGTTCTCCCAAAAGTAGGGAGGCTGGGTGGATTAGAATTAAAAATATAAAATTGTGTTAGAGAAAGTGTGTGTGTATGCCTGTGCATGTGCACGCGTGTGTGTGTGTCTGTCAGAGAGTCTCTGTTTAGGTGCCAGTCCCCCTCCGATCATACGCTTGAGGTTTTTACTAACCTTTTTACCCATGCCGTGCTGGTTTCGCCATTGCTTGTCCCGCCTCCATAGCAGAGATCCTAATGATCTCAGCTAAGCCAACACTTTCCCATAGGAAAGCATTGGGAGGATATTACGCATGTTCTCTATGTGTAACATTCAGCGCCTCCATGCAGAGCACTGACACACGACTCTTTAGTGGCTGTCTGAGTGACTGTCACTAGAGGTTTTAGTAGGCAGAAATGTAAACGCTGCCTATAGGCACCAGAACAACTACATTAATCTGTAGTGGTACTGGTGACTATAGTGTCCTTTAAAAAAACTGGCTAACTTTTTTAGCTGGCTCCTAGATTCCAAACAAAATTTGTCAAGCTTTGTGTTACGTTCTCAACACAAAGAGAGAAGACGAGTGGACACAAGGCAGGTAGAACGTTAATCTACAGATTTGCCATTACAATGTGTAGTTTAAACTCAACCAGCACAATGACTAAATGTTATTACTCACACATTTACAATGTCAGATCCGCTTTTTAAAATATTTAGTGTATTCATTAGGTTATTAGGTAGCTAAAAACCAGAGAGCTGATCAATACTTTTGCGGCTTATCTGCCCCCCCCCCAAATAAAAATTAAATTAAAAAAAACCCACAAATATTCTTGTAGATACTGTGTCCAAACAGATTTAGGTTGCCATAGTCACAATGTACTATCCTCTCCACCCCCTTTTAACAAAATGTAGAAAGAAGGCATGACGAGGCAAATTTTTTTTAAATAAAATATAAATTCTCTATATATTAGTGAGTTAACCTTTCCCTCATCTCCCATGCACATACTGCAATATTTACAAACAAAAAAAACTACAACAAAACAATGATAGACAATATTACTGTTCTGTTTACAAATACTGCAGTTTGTGCATGGAAGATGATGGGAAGTTTACTCACTAATATATAGAAAATTTATAATCTTTGTTTACTTTTACCATTATATATATTTTTTATTCTATCATCCAAACATTTGGGTATAATTTCAACAAAAAATTTAAAATCTCCAATTACTACTTGCCTTTTTTCACCTCGATGTTCAAATTTAACACGCACATCATTCTGTATGAGTGAGAAAACCAGAATAAAAGGAAAAGTTAGAATGTCCACAATTTGGGGTCATGTAATCTATTTCATGATATGTCCTTTCTATGAACATTTAAAACTGTCCGGTGCCATAAGAGATTAATGAATTGTGTCCAGCCAAAGACAATAAACTACCAGCAATATCCACTATTAGAAAAGCAAAACAAGTCACGATCAAAAACAATAATAAATATTCAATATTAGAGAAAAAAAAACAAAAAACTAAAAGGGTAAAAGAAATCTCAACAGAAAAAGTAGGTTACCATACAACACCTACGGAAACATAAAACAATCGGGGGTATCTCTCTTAAATGTTTACAATATAAAAAAATACCAAACTTACTCCTGAGGTAAAGTAAGGGATAGGTTACCAGTTCTGCAGTTTTACATTTAGGAAATATACCACCAGTTTGTTTTAGGAGCATTTTAAGACTGAAAATCGGGATATAAAGTTTCACTCAATCACTAAGCTGCCCCTCCAACCAAAACTCTACTGTCATATTTCCCATTAAACATTTCACAAGAGATTCTGTGGTGAAAAAGCCCCCAAACTAAATGTAATAGCTTCTCTCTAACACTAAACAAATATCCCTGAATAGACTGGACCCTGATTTGCTTTTCAGCCAAGATGTGAACATTTTAATAAAGATTCCCTCAAGCTGTTGGCCACAGTGAATGATCGCATCTTTGCCAATTTCGGTATCTCCCCCTTTAATTAACATAACGATACGTCCATCGTATCATTAATATCAAAATGCAACGTTTTAACTCATGTTTAAATAAACAGAAGAGTCTTCAAAAAAATCATAAACTTAAAAAAACATCTACCAGCAATCAATCTGCTATACTGAATATATTTTTTTCTTCCAAATTCCATTTTAAAAATCACATTACCAATAAAAATAGCAAGAGGTTCTTCAATATGCCCTGAATAGTGGGAATATATAAAGAACGCCACGTGCTATACTATATATGCATTTTACTACCTTTATGGTCCACTACTGACTTCATCCGCTAATACTAAACACAAGCTTTCAGCTAGATCAGAAGAAATAAGGAGGCTGTCATGCTTTTAATCAGAGGGAACCAAGATAGTTCTCCACTACTGACTACGTGTCTCACAGCAGTAACAGACGGCAGGACACAAACAGGAAATTATGGCATGTACCTTAAAAACAGCACTTGGCATTTTCACACCATTATTGAAGAAAAAAAAATAAAGGAAAAAGGTTATTTTTAAACTTAATGGTACTTGAAAAAGCATAAAATGTTCAAAAGGATTGTGTCCAAAAGGCACAAAGAACACATCTGCCAAGCAATGTTGGCACCTAAAGACAAGGCCTGTCTGCCAGTTACCAGATGTGACTTGACTGCATCCTCCAGCAATGACTGATAATATGGGAGATGGAGCACAATCACCACTATACAGGCAGAAACAAGTAATTATAAAGAATAAACCGGAAAGAGAAACACAGAGCTCTGCTGCCAAAAGCACTTCAACCTCGGCATTCCCTTTCAATATTTCAGAAAGGGGCGAGAAAGGGGTCACTGAGAGCACATAGACCAGAAATGGCTAAACTTGGCAACACAGCTGTTTGTATACTACATCTCCCATAATGCTAAAGGCTGGCATAACATCACAAGGCATTAGTTCATAAACATCTGGGGTTCCACAAACAGCAATATCGGAACATTTATAAAGCCATTGGACCTGCAACAAACTTTATCAGAGAGATACCAACCAGTGGATGATGCCACAATGTAGCGCAACTTGTGTCAAGGCTTACCTGCTTCTTAGGAGACGTGGACTTGGAGACTACCGTTTCCTGCAGGACTATAGCAGGTCTGCTAGCTTTGTGCAGTTCAGCCAAGTCCTGCATGATGGAGTTCAGAGCTTGCTGCTCATCTATAGAGAATGGAGAGGAGGAAAGGTAAACACAATGTACGTGGAAATGTTTTATAACAGAGTCTCACCCACCCAGCATGTACTGCAGCGTAACTAAGGGATGAAGCACGGGTTACATACAGTGCTGGAATGGGGTCTAGTTTAGGGCACCAAGAGATTTCTTTATCGCATTATTTCAAGAAACACAATAATGGTGTCAAAACATACTCAACACTCACATTCGTAACTCCAGGAGCCGGCAGGGCAGGAGAGGGAGAGAGATTTATCATTCTCTTACATTAAGATTAGAGGAACAGAGGGGTTTGTGTCATTGGGTCCTTGGAAGCTCAATTAGATTACTAAAAAAGTCACATTAAGGCAACAGGTTGAAATGAAAATTCAACAGGAGCTGATAATTACCACCCAGTGTTAAGAATAAGGACTAGTTGGCCGTTTTTAATTCTGGGATTGGTGAAGTAAAAAACTTCCTTCACTGGCCATGAATTAGGGAGATCTGGGAAACTAAATAATTGTTGTCAAAGTTCTCATCCAGCTTTTTCCTCTGCCCTTATCAATAAACATCCCGAAATGAACAAGCCCCAATTCCATCTTAAGCCCAATAAAGCATCATTCAAAGCACACAATATAAACGTGAGCAGACTAAAGCCCATACAATGCACTGGGAATTATGGATAAAGTGAAAAAAATAAAAAGGGTTGATTTCTGCAATTCACACCAACATTGGAATCACCTGGAGCCTAGGGATTGTCTGGGAGTGTTTGAAATCCCTTAATGCATAAAAAATAAAACACAAAATTAACTTTGTTGGACATAGTGGAGCAAATACTAGTTTCGCTGAGTCTCAACACACAGACAAGAATTCTGGGTAATGATAACATGCAGTCTGTTTAGCTGCAAGTCATTGCTTCATTTATATAAATGTATATCAATTTAGTCCAGTGACAGAGTAAAAAGGGGTTAAAGATCCAGGTTAAACTCCCTCTGGGAATGTCAGTACACTGTGGAAGGGGAGAAAGGTTCAGCACTGTATATTATACAATGTTTATCCTGCTACAGAGATTAAACAAAACACAAAGCACATCACACTAAGACTATCACCAAGGACCTTTCAATTTCTCCAGTGCGATCCTGTAAAACCCAGAACAGCTTCCAAATCACCTAAATGAGCGATGCAGTACCCTCTAGGGATTTGCAAAGATAAACATTAAGGCTTGGCTAATTAGTGAAAGAAAATCCCAGTTTATTAACAAAAAGCACAGCGTGTTAACCATACAACAGCCACCAGTCTGTATCCCCATCACACAGCATACAGGCAGTAACAGGTGTAAAAAAACCGCTCATCTTCAGGTGTAGCGGACATGTGTGAATTAGTCGTCTAATCCAACCTTACAATGCCTAAAACGAGACATGACATCATGTGTTTGTCCAGCGAATCCCTCTGTGTGTTTATTTGCTCTGCGTGAACAATCAGATCACTTCAAGGTCATGACTGTGGTTATGGCAGACACTAACACAGCGTGGAGTGCCCATTGTATGCAATACTTTAACTATTTCATTATTCAAGGAGAGTACAATTCAGCAACAATGAGGCTTAAAGGGTGCACGTCAGGCAACTGGGACATGGAGGTATTTGGTAAACAACATTTTTGTGTACACTGCACTAGCCAAAAATGTGTTATGACTAGCCATGACACCAGTTACTCAGAAATAACAAACTTGGTGGCTGCCTTAGTAGCGTATCTGTACACTACAAAGCCAACTAGTGCGACACAGCAGCTGATGTGTACAATTTGGAACAAAGTTCTTAAATGCTTTTTTTATTTTAAATAAAGGAGCGCTCTCAGGATCTTAACCATTATAGTTCCTTCTAATGAGTTTTGGTTCAAAGAGGTTTTGGGTGCAGACACTCTGGTATTTGGAAAACCAGTTGAGAGTTTTGACAAACTTCCAGCACCAACAATCAATCCTCTTGTTTTACTTCCACACTATTCATCCAAAGTGGATGAGTAAAGACAGGCTACAAGAGCTTGGCTAGCCATAACACACTACTGAAAGGACAAGGAATGTGCATGGCATTCTCTTGCTTCATGAATTAAAAAAAAAAAAATGGGACACAAAAAAAAGCCTCCAAATATTTTCAGAGGTTACCTCTCCCCTCCCCTGTCCCATAGTGTTCTTCCCTTCCCTGTTCCATATTGTCGTCGTCCGTCCCCCCCCCACCCCCACCTGCCCACTCCTCTCCCCTGTCCCATATAGGGTCAGGAACACAAACATAGATTCCTGACATTATAGTGATAAAAAAGCCCTGTTAGCCCCCCAGACACCCCCTTAAAAAGGTAGAAATCATACCTTTTTCCAGCGCAATGCAGGTGCACCAGCCTGGCTCCAGCCCCTAAAGTAGTTGGGTTGGCTGAGTTTGTCAATTCTGATTATCTCAGCCAAGGAGGCGGGGTGGAGCCAAACACCCCATTGGCCAATCAGCATCTCCTCATAGAAATTGAATCAATGGATCCTTATGGGGAAGTTCAGCGTATACACGCTGAACATCACTGCTGCACGTTGTTCTCTGAAAAGGCAGAGGTTACACGAAAATGCCTGCATGTGCTGACTATACAAACCAGAACAACTACATTAAGCTGTAGTTGTTCTGATGAGTATAGTGTCCCTTTAAGTTTTACAGTATAGACTACAAATGCCAGATTAAATGAGATACTTGTTTTAATTGACACTTTCAAGCATCGTTGAGGAGAAAAACTAAAATATAGCAATGCTAATATTGGATTTCTTTTTAACTAGTAAAATGTTGTAGTACATGTTAATCTATGAGACATGTTTGATAAACACAATGATATTTTGATATAGTCATTATCTATGGTATAGCCCCTTCAAGGATATCTTGTGCAGAGTATGGTATTGCCTTATAATTGTGTATTGCAAGGGCTATAATGATTTTATTTTTCAAAAATCAGTTTGGTAGCAATCCAATGCAGATCTATGGAATCAATACAAAAAGAGTTGTTCATGTATCACATTATACAGATATAAACTTACCCATTATGGCAGCCAGCTGGTCACAGATCATGAAAGAGTGAAGAACCTCTCATGGGCAAAGAGTTATTTTTCCTGAAAGAGAGAAGATCAAGTGTTAGTAACCTTTCATAAACTTCAGCAAAGGACCAGTAATCAAAGGTAATAAACACAATGTTTCTGCCCCAGAAAGGACCAAAGCAGAGTAGTTCTCTCATCAGAAAGTCTATGTAACAAAGCATTTTAATAAAAGTCTATACATTCAGAACATACATCCTTGCACAGTGGCTACGCTTCATACCAAAGGCTCTGATTGGCTGCGACATCACAAGTGGTAAGCCCAGCTAAACTTACTATGGTGTACAAAATAACATTAACATGACAAGCTCCACATGGGACCAGTTAATACATTCCAAAAATTTCTAAAGAGCCTCTCATCTCATGGTATAAAGAACATAAAAAGTTTGTAATATGCAGAAAAGGTCTGTAATGTAGTAGTGGATGCAGAAATGAGTGTTAAATCTAATAAATAGTAATGAATATATTATTAATAAATATTAACTGGGCAGCAAGATGCCATAGCCATCAAATACGAACACATTATGTTCAGGAGAGCCTGCAAAACTTTGTGTTTGTCTGTGCTGTTATTTAAAGATCTGTCTTAACCAATCCCTTAGCCTATTCCAAGAGAAGACCTCTGCAGCAATTGTTTTGGGGTTTTTGTTTTTTTTGTGAGATTAGAGAGCAAAGGGAAAAGTGATGCATACAAACCTGCAAAGCAGTCAGACCTGAATTACAAGAACAGAAAAAAGCAATCAACTGAAAAAGGACAGAAGAAAAAAAATATATATACTTCAGTCCAAAAAACATGTTGCTCAGTTTCCCATGAACACTAAATAACTCAGCAGGCAGATCAGGTTACTGCCTTTAATATGACTTTTTAATTCTCTCACAGTATAAAAATAAAACGTAAGAACACCATGTGCCGACTGCAGAAGACACTGCAGACTAAATTAACTGCTGAAAGAGACTGCATTTAAAAAACAGTTCCCTCTTTGGGAAAAGCTCTTCCAAAAAGAAAACCTTTAATTTCTGATGAAAACAAGAGAAAATACAGGGAATGTCCAATACTAGTGTCCATTGCTGGTGGACTATAACCATCTTAGAAAGCATGAGTGATCAGCGTGTTTGAGAGTTATCAGTGTAAACTGATCAACCATGACACCAAAAATACTGACAGGTGAATTAAATAACAGATTATATTGTTAGACAGGCACCTGTCATGGGATGGGGTATAATAGGCAGCAAGTGAACAGTTATTTCTTGAATTTCATGTGTGGGAAGCCGGAAAAATGGTAGGGATGCACCGAAATGAAAATTCTGGGCCGAAACCGAAAATTCAGGATGCCCTTGGCCTAAAACCATATATGACTTTTTTCCCCCAAATCATTTAAAAAAAGTTTTTTTCCTAAAATTGTATTAATATTAGACTTTTTAAATGAATTTAATTAATCTAATATGAAAAACCTCCCTTCTCCCATCTCTTTTAGTGGCCCCCCTACTTAAAGGAGCACTCTAGGCACCCAGACCACTTCAGCTTAATAAAACAATATTAAGTTTTCCATCCAAAAGAAAAACCTGCTATGCAAGGGAAAAAAAACAAAACAAAAAAAATATACTGGTTAAGCCAATACTATTGTGTTTATTGTATGAATTGTACATTATAGCCCACTTACAAACATCTTAAATTTTCTGCAATCGTAAAGCCATTTCACTGAACACTTGAAACTTCATTGTCAATCTGCCATAATAAACAGCTGAGTAAATAAGCCCTACTTGTATGTAATCATAACGCTTAATAAAGTGGAGATTTGTTGTCCTAAGCAGGAGGGGAGAAAAACCAGAGTGGTCACTTCCCTTTCCTAGCAAGTAAATAAGATATTATTGAAAGAGTATATAGTAAATGAGAAAGTATGGGGAAGACTAAAAATGCTGGCAGATCAGGTGCAGATTTACACTACGGGGAGATGGCATCGAAACACACAGACCTTTCTTTCTACAGACCACTATTGTTACTTCTAAAATAAACAAACAAAAAGTAGCAATTTTAAAAGGCACACAAACCAACATAACAATTCCAGCTTTTATTGTGGCAGTGATAGAGCAAGGAACCTTTGGGTCACAAATATTTTGTCAAATCATTTTAAGCTGGATGACAAACAAAAACTTGGGTTTCCGTACCACGCTGATTTCACTTCTGTATTGTCTAACCTTGGGCAACAATGACCAGCTGTGAGCAATGGGCTATCCAAACCTAGCAAGGTTTTTGTTTTCCTTTTTCGATCTAAAGCAGTCCAACAGCAATGAAAGTCTCTAAGTGAATTATCCCAGGGCTTCCAGAGAATGAGTAATGTCCAAAATTAGACAGCTTTGAATAAATAACGCAAAAAGTGCAACTTTCATGTTATCGGAGTGTCAGACAAGGGGCTGAGCTTTGCGTACCGTGAGAGATTTGGATTTTGTCTAGCTGCTCAAAAATTTCTCACACCATAACCACTACTTAAAGCTTAAATTGCTTTCTTGCAGATAATGGCTGCAATATATAACCGGTCAGTATTTCTAATCGATTTAGAACATGAGGCTACAAAGCTGTAAATGACTAATGTCTCAATGCACTTTTCCTTTGGTAAATTCATGCAATGGTCAGTTCAAAATCCTTTCTTAGTTAAAGGCAATGGGAAATATTTCATGATGTATCATTTTTAATTAAAGGTTTTCATTTTTATGAAGTAAAAAAAGAAAAAAGGGACAACTGTTTACCAAAAGTCACCACAAATTTCAAAATATGTAAGATTGCAGCAGAAGGCTATTTATAAACAAAAAAAAAACCTTCCAAAACTTTCAAACACCCTGGCAAGACATATTTTCTAAGATTTATAGGTAGTGTTTGCCTTTATGCATGTATTACTTCAAATCTCTAAAAAGTCCAGAGCTGCTCCATGTCTTTCAACTTCCTGGATCATTTTAAAAGGGTTCTGATCATAGAAGAGGCTACTCATATATCCCCTAAAGGGCCATCATAAATTGTTCTTGAAAGAGAACATTCTAAATTCGTAGTGGACACTTATTAATGTTTAATAAACGGCCGCTGTGTGATGAAACAACGACTTTAGAAGCTGGGGTGACAGTAATGTAATAGTTGGTCCCTACAGCTGTATTGTCACTTATGGTGTATTAGTAGTTTTTGCAGTGATCTGGGAAAATAGAAGCAGCTCACCAGTCGCATTGAAACTACAAATGCTATGATGATCCCCAATTTTCATGCTGTTCAGGGACAAACCCACAGGCAGAAAGATATTTTAAAAATGTCTTTATTTGTCATAGAAATATTGAGGCATACTTAAGCATATAAAGTAATCCTTCAAAAAGACTCCAACTAATGTGAACTGACTAAAAGGAACATTCCTGGGGTAAAAATAAATACCAACTACTCAAGGTAAGTGAGGAAGACAATTCTCCTGGCAGTTTGACAGCCGGTAGAGCAAAACAAAAGAGATTTATAAAATTACCGTTTTCAATAGAAATTAGCACTTTGACAAAGTAAGAAAGAGGGGACACTCAGTTAACCCGTGAACCATTTCAGTAATTTGAAATGCTTTAGGGGTTTCTTAAATAACTGATTTTAGGGCATATAGTAGGTATGTAATGACAATGTAACTTATAAAAAAACAAAAAAAAGGTTGAACTTTCACCCTGGTTTGGCAAAAAAAAAAAAAAAAAAGGAGTATTCATTGTAGCAAGTTGTAAAAGAAATCCCACAAAGGAATATGCCAAGTCAACTGTAGTGGTTATGGTGTTTCAAGTGTTAGATTAAAGCAAAAATAGTCAGGCCGCAACCAACGCAAGAATTTCTTCAAATAAACCGTTTGCCCCAATATTCGGATTTCACATCTGTACAGTTGGCAATTTAAACACCACAGACTCTGACTGAGGCAGAAAAACCGGTCGGTGGATTCCGAGACAGCCTAAAACACCCTAAACAATGCCGCAAAGGTGTCGCACAGGATAACAAGAGGAAGAACAGTATGTTAAACCAACCATCTATGTTGGTTCTGTATTGGAAGGGAACACGTTTACCTAATAAGGTTTTATTCTAGAGAACAGACACAAAGAATATCCTGACAGAAAGTAGACTATGGAAGTCTCTCTGGAATGGATTAACATAGACTGTCAGCAAATAATTGGCAAGTGAGATAGACAGAGAGATATCAGGTAACAAGGGGCTGTACGACAATACTATGCACAACAGGTTTACCATAAATGCTGTGCGACTCTACATATTAATTAATCGTAATGTTTCAATGCATTACTATTTCATGCTTGAAGCATTTTACTGACCTCATAGGAAACACTGCAACTACACTAAACCTCATGTTTGGATGAAATCTGGGCTATGTTGAAATATCTGCACGATTGTTCTTTTTTGCAATCACACTGCATGCATGAAATGTTTCTTTTTATTAACTCTCCCACAGAAAGAGGAAGCACTGCACAACTCAAAAATAACATGTTTCAGCATTCAAACACAGCACTTTGATAAGTAAAAACAGCAGTGCACTCAAACTTCACAAACACGCAGTACAATAAACTGATCCCTCCAGCAGGTAATAAACACAGGACTCTCGGAATTAATCAATTCCAGAGATCTGAAGGTACAGGACTAATCCAAAGCAAGAACTCAAAACTGGATATTAAGTCCATGTAATGTACCTGTAAATGTAAAATAAATGACAATGTATGGAGCACGTTGGGATCTATATAAATACAAAATCAGAGAAATGAACAGACACATTCATGATGTGGTCAATAAACACTTCAAAACATTAATTTATTGTTACTCTATAAACAAACGCTCACTCTGTACCAATGTGTGGAAAACCGGTAACAAGTAACTAGTGGCTGGGTGGGTGATATTGCTAAATAATCCGAGATCAAACAATAGAAACAGGCTAATCATACTAGCTCTTCAAAAGCACCCGTCAACACCATAAAAGTACTGCGAATATAGGTCCTCGCTCCCTTCACCCATGTAGCGGTAAAAATGTCCTGTTTGTTTCTTGAAAATAACTTTAAACACACAGCATCCCTACAGGACATTAAGACTTATTAGTGACACAGATATACAAAAAAAAAGTAAATTGTCTTTATACGCTAAATGTAAATGTAGCGAATTGAAACATACACAAAAATATAATGTTGAAAAATTCTCCAATTCAGCTAAATTCAAAGCTTGGCTATTTGAGCCTCAATTTTGTTATTCAGATTTCAATTTGTTATGTTTTGTGTTTAGTAAATAATCCTGAATTGTGGGGGATTTTGAGCTTCCAAAAGACTAGCACGTCCTATGCTGCCATTAGTCTAATGTAATCCAGTTAGCAACCCACACTGTCAAACAGACATAGCAAAGCAGGCAAGCAGTAAAGGGATGGGGTGTGCAGAGCTCTCAAAAACTTGTTTGGCTAAACATAATTCTTAGAAGGGACATTGCTCACTCATTAAAAGCAATGATGAAATTTGTATTCTTTACGATAGTTTGTGTTATTTGTGGCCGTTGAGCTGATCTGCAATGTACGGATTTGACACATAGGTGGTAGGGCAGATCTTATACACAGCATATACAAATAGTTACATGCTGTGTATTGCAGCAATTCTGACCTCTGGACCACAGAGGTTTTGAGCTAGATATCTCATGATGCCCAATCAGCTCCTGCCTTGGTAAGGTTTGGGACATGGTAATATTGCCAAACTAGGGGGACACAAAGTGTAGGATCCAGGGTGTTAATGGGCAGCAGATATGAGGTCCCTGGCATGATGACACCAAGTCAGGAGGTTCAGCGATAAGAAGATGATGCTGTGCAACATGGGCAAAATGCAGGGACATGTGCATGACTTCAGATTAGTAGGTATCGATTACCCTTAGCCATCACTGAATGTGGGAGCACAGAGAGGTACAGCTGATGTAACCAGGAATGCTGGGAGGAGATACAGCTAAAATGGTAAGAGAGTGCAGTGGGCAAGATTAACTAAGGTGTGCACGGTGTGGTGTGAGAGATAATTTGATGGAGTGCTCTATGGGGTACAGATGTTGTGCTCCTAAGGGTACTATACGGAGAGTAAAGCTTAAATAGAAACCTCAAAGTCTAATATAGTGTATATGGCCAATCAGGGGCCCCAGTGGTCTGTGGTCCTAGGGGTATACTACAGTAAGAATGAGGAGAATAATTAATTGGGGCCCCTAGGAGGTTTATACAGTGAATAAGGCCATTCAGGGCCGCTCAACTGGTTATATGCAAGGAGTATGATCAATCATGGGCCTCAGAGAGTTTCAAACAGTAAGTAGGACAGTCAGAGGCCCCCCAGGGGTTTTATACAGTAAGTAGGACAGTCAGAGGCCCCCCAGGGGTTTTATACAGTAAGTAGGACAGTCAGGGGGGCCCCCAAGTACCTCATATGGTAAGTAGTACAATCAGGGGCCCCCAGGTACCTCATACAGTAAGACAGTAGAGGACCCTCATGGGTTTCATACAGTACGTAGGACAATCAGGGGGCTCCCAGTGGTTTTATACAGTAAATAGGACAGTCAGGTCACCCCTAGGTACCTCATGTGCTAAGTAGGACAGTCAGGGCCCGCCAGGTCTCTCATATAGTAAGTAGGACACAAAGGGGCTCCCCAGGTATCTCATACAGTAAGTAGGACAGTCAGGGCCCCGCCAGGTATCTCATACAGACACTAAGGGGCTCCCCAGGTATCTCATACGGTAAGTAGGACACTAAGGGCTCCCCAGGTATCTCATACGGTAAGTAGGACACTAAGGGGCTCCCCAGGTATCTCATACGGTAAGTAGGACAGTCAGGGCCCCGCCAGGTATGTCATACGGTAAGTAAGACAGGCAGGGGCTCCCCAGGTATCTCATACAGTAAGTAGAACAGTCATGGGCCCCCAAGTATCTCATACAATATGTAGGACAGTCAGGGCCCCCCCAGTGGTCTCATACAGTAAGTAGGACAGTCAGGGGCCCCCAGCAGTCTCATACAGTAAGTGGGACAGTCAGGGGCCCCCAGCTGTCTCATACTGTAAGTGGGACAGTCAGGGGCCCCCAGCTGTCTCATACAGTAAGTGGGACAGTCAGGGGCCCCCAGCTGTCTCATACAGTAAGTGGGACAGTCAGGGGCCCCCAGCTGTCTCATACAGTAAGTGGGACAGTCAGGGGCCCCATACAGTAAGGACAGTTAGGGGCAGCCAGGGGTCTCATACAGTAAGTAGGACAGTAAGGGGCCACCAGTGGCCCCATACAGTAAGTAGGACAGTCAGGGGCCTCATACAGTAAGTAGGACAGTCAGTGGCCCCCAGGGGGCCCATACAGTAAGTAGGACAGTGGCCCCCAGGGGCCCCATATAGTAAGTAGGACAGTCTGTCGCCCCCAGGGGCCCCATACAGTAAGTAGGACAGTCAGTGGCCCCCATACAGTAAGTAGGACAGTCGGTGGCCCCCATACAGTAAGTAGGACAGTCAGGGGCCCCCATACAGTAAGTAGGACAGTCAGTGGCCCCATACAGTAAGTAGGACAGTCAGTGGCCCCCAGGGGCCCCATACAGTAAGTAGGACAGTCAGTGGCCCCCAGGGGCCCCATACAGTAAGCAGGACAGTCAGTGGCCCCCAGGGGCCCCATACAGTAAGCAGGACAGTCAGTGGCCCCCAGGGGCCCCATACAGTAAGTAGGACAGTCAGTGGCCCCCAGGGGCCCCATACAGTAAGTAGGACAGTCAGGGTACCCACCTGAGCAGGGAGCAGTCTCCCCGCCCCCAGCCCTCTATACCGGGGCCGGGGGCAGCTCCTCTCCCAGCCGAGGGCCAGTCACATGGGCTCCCAGGGGCCCGAGCTCTGTACTCCGTCACAAAATGGCGGCCGGGGCCGGAGCCAGGAACCCGATGGCTGAGACCCCCCCACACCGGGCCCGGGGCCCCCCAATCCCCCGGCAGCGGACACTGGCACAGCGGGCTCCCAGGAACCGAGAGTCCGAGCGGCGGAGACACCCGGAGACAGTCCGGCCAACACAACGTCACACGGGGGCGGGGCCTGTCAGCGGCGAGCGCTACACACCCGAGACACAGCGAGCGAACCCAGGGCCGCCATCTTACCGGAGACCAGGCCGCCTCGCTCTACAGCAAAGGGACTCCGAGAGAGCGGGCTGAGGGGAGCGCTCTACTGTCTGATACCAGTGACGGCAACAGGGGGGCGGGGCCACGAGAGGGACAGGGGGCGGGGCCACGAGAGGGGGACAGGGGGAAATACCTAGAGCTTTATTATTAATACAGCCCCCCCCCCCAACCTGGATAACAATAACCCAAATACAGCCCCCCAACCTGGATAACAATAACCCAAATACAGCCCCCACCTGGATAACAATAACTTCAGCTGGATAACAATAGCCCAAATGCAGCCCCCCACCTGGATAACAATAACCCAAATGCAGCCCACCTGGATAACAATAGCAAATACAGCCCCCACCTGGATAACAATAACCCAAATACAGCCCCCCCACCTAGGATAACAATAACCCAAATACAGCCCCACCTGGATAACAATAAAATACAGCCCCCACCTGGATAACAATAACCCAAATACAGCCCCCAACCTGGATAACAATACAAATACAGCCCCCCAACCTGGATAACAATAGCAAATACAGCCCCCCAACCTGGATAACAATAAAATACAGCCCCCCACCTGGATATACCCAGCAGCCCCCCACCTGGATAACAATAGGCCCCCAAAACAATAACCCAAATACTGGATAACAATAACATTGGATAACAATAACTACCCCCCACCTGGATAACAATAACCCAAATACAGCCCCCCTGGATAACCTGGAATACAGCCCCCACCTGGATAGCAATAAAAATACAGCCCCCCACCTGGATAACAATAACCCAAATACAGCCCCCACCTGGATAACAATAACCCAAATACAGCCCCACCTGGATAACAATAACCCAAATACAGCCCCAAACCTGGATAACAATAACCCACAGCCCCCACCTGGATAACAATAACCCAAATACAGCCCCCACCTGGATAACAATAACACATGCAGCCCCTCACCTCAACTTCTTTTGGATGCACAATACAGGCACATAATGTGTAAATCTACGCCTCATGAAATATTTAAAAAAATAGATATAGATTTCCTTTTTATTTGATGCATGGGTTTTAAATATCACAAAGAAAAAAATGCATCTTAGTTCCATCTCCATTTACTCTCTTCTAAAAAAAAAAAAAAAGTGTGAATTGACTAGAATTCAATGTGAATTTTAAATTTAAAGACAAATTGGAAAAAATTCCCCATGACCACGAAGCTTACATTTGAAATTCACTTTGGATTCCCGAGAGTTCTTAATTTATTGAATAACCCTGTAACTCTCCCCTACAAACAAGGGTCAGGTGTGAGTGGGAGACCTATGCCACTTCCTGGTTGAAGAGCACATCACTGCCAAATTCAGCAGATTTTGAGGATTTGCTACGAATGAGGAACAGTGTGAATTATTCTTTTCATATTTTAGTGCATATATTGTAATGTTCTCTCTCCAAGGCACAAAAAGAGTTACTCCACTTTGAATTGTCTCTTTTAATACCTCTGTAGACCAGTATGTAGGTAGTTTACATGTATTATTTATTAATATAAAGATTTCTTTCAAATGGTATATAAATTTTACAAGATCCAGTCAATGACCGGTGGAAAAAGAGGACTTAAAACTCAAAGTTTTTTGCATTATAAATATAAGTAAATCGGTTTTAATAGACTGCTACTGCACTGTTGGAAAATAAACATTTACTGTGCGATAAACATTGACATCATCAGCATTCACCCCAATCAAACAGCATAAACTATTGATCAGTCACTAATGTTGAGACTTTTTAGCTGTAACCATCAGATTAGATATTTTTCTTTACTGACAATATATGAAAGCATGCTTCTTTCCCTGCAGATTAATCTAATGTGTCATATTGAAGCACGCAGTTTATGGGCAGAAAATTAAAATGTCTTACAAATTACACATTATTTATCAGAGCATCTTACACGATTCCATGTATATCATCCCTAAATAGGAATCTTACAAAGTCCAATCAAACCCAGCTTTTACCCAAACAGAATATTAGTTGGGCCAATAAACGGGAGGTGAATATAAGTCAACAAGAGACACAGTGGACAAATCAAAAGAGGAGTTGCCTTAGGAAAAAAGTAAGGCATTATAGTCTTGTCCTTTTTTGATTTCTTATTAAAAATGAATCATGCCATTACAAAGTGACAAACTAAGTTGCTGCGATTCCATAAAGGGAAAACCATATCAGGAAGTCGGGAGATATGGAGTAATTAGCCATTCGTCATTTAGCTCAGCATGACGTGACGTTCTGACATTTCCCGTTGATTACCTAATTTTATAAAGCGTGTACAAAGGGAAGATATTGTGAAACCATTTCTTTTACTGCTGTAAAAGACATCTTTACCTTGTGTTTACAATTTTTCGATCACAAGTTTTATTTTAATTTAAAAAAAAAAATCTAAAGATACATCTAACCTTGCTTGCTTAGATTAAATAATGAAATTATTCTATTTATATCGCTATTTTAATCTGATTTATGGTAAACATTTCAGAACACAGTGGCCCATGGGTTGCTAGTTGCATTAATTGGGAATATACAGTTTTCTCAACATTTAAAATTAGGTAGGCTGCTGCATAGCTGTTCAATTCAACAGAGAAACCAAATGACATTCGTAGATTAATTACTTCTTTAAACAATACAAAAATTCTAACAAACTCCACATTAAACCAGGGAAATAGTTCAGTTACATAAAACAACTATCTAAAATTATAGAATGGGGATACAACACAGAATTTAGCCATGCACACTGTCTCCATCAAGGTCAATGTACCCAATTTCTGGGAGGTCCATCTCGTAAATTCCCTTTAATATTATATTTGCATTTAATGTCAGTGGAGTTCGCAAAATATCATATATATTACAACTATACCTCACAAATTCAACACATAACATTTCTCTAAACAAATTTGACAAAGGAAGGCAGTGTAACCCAAGCTATTACCAGGAGAAGAAAAATGGCATTATATCTATATGTATGTAATATGTATTCCACAGAATCTTTGTTTGGTAAAAGAATTCAAAACAAGTTTATTTACTCAAAGGGAGACTCCAAACACCATAACTACTTACTGTACTGCTAATGGTTGTAGTTAAAGGGTTTCTCTAACCCCTTTTTATTTGCTACATGAGTCTGTAGCAATTCAGTGGTACCGAAATTATTAACAAATCCCTGCAACCAAATCCCAATGAATCTTTATAGATCAACACTAAGGCAGATGGAACGTCCTCAGACAAAATCAAACGTTGAAGTGTGGGATTTAAGTGACACAAATTCCACTCTTGGTTTTCAACCTGCTTGAATATGGATTGACAAAAAAAAAAGACTTGTATCATTATCATTCCAATAAGCTGTAGTGGTTATGATATTTGTATTTTTGTAATCTGATTATTGCCATGGTACTTAGATATATGGTGACACACACACACACACACACACACACACATGGCATCCACAGATATGTAATGAGTGTTATTTATTTATTTGTTGTTTGTTATTTAATTATATATATATATATGTATGTGGATACGCCATGGATTCCTAGACTTATAGTGAGAATGAAATACATTTAGTAAAGTGACAATCATTTGGATTTCTGAGTGAATTTCAAATTAAAGTCCAATGTAGTCAGACTGGAAGCAACATGGAGAATTTGTACTTTTCATCTATTTTGACCTAACTTTAAAATTCACTTTAAATTCCGGACAATTCTCACTTTAGTCATTAATCCTGTGAGTAAGATCTATTTGACATCTAAAAAGTAAGAAAGCACTGAAACGGTCATTTCATTCTGTTGCTGGCTGAAGGGGTTAAACATATTGCAATTCTCCAAGTGACTATATCCGTAATGCTGGTGAGTTATAGTATATCAATCCTCATCCACCACCATACCACTTCGTTCATTGGTCGGAATATGAGCTCACTGAATTTTTGCCACAAATGTAAAGTTAAAAATATAAAACCTCGGCATTTCTTTCTATTACAGTTTAGAATATCATATGTCCATCCTTCTAGCTGATCTACCAACCCAAATTATCTGCAGTCTCATTCACATCCTGTCTGTGGCACCAAACTCATCTCCAGCCTCTACTGTGTAACTCAACACTTAGGAGTGTCCGACTATGGATACAGCACCCATAGTGCTTTACAAGACTATGACTGGCAGAGAATTTAGTAAGTAATATCTTGTATGAAACGCCTAACGAATTTTGTGACTACTTGACCCTTTCTGAAAGACCAAAGACTTAAAATCTGGAGATCCCTGGTCAATGTGCAACAATTCCTTATTGAGTCAGCATATATGAGTGTGAATTAACAATTTAATGTTCGTGTCCCCCATATGGTGTTAGAATTATTCTGTACTGTCATGTCACTAATAAAAGTGCAGGTTTTACTCACTCATTCACACGGAGTGTCAGTAACACAGAGATGTTTTAATAAATACAACATATTTCTAGATTTTCAAAATGTATTTTTTTTAATATTGATTTGCATTTTTCAAGTTAAACACAATTTTGTAAATATTACAATGTAAAAAAAAAAAAAAATCCCCCCCATGAAATAAGACAAGTACGGTATATTCCTGCTCATTGTCTGAAAAGGACCCCCTATTCACATCACTTAGCTATTCTGTGTAAGAGCTACACGTTCAGTGAATTACCCCACTTCCCAGTCCCTGACATGGTTTAGGAAAAACATGTCTTCTTTTTCTAAATCTCTTTCTGCGCTGTGATATTTCCCTTGTACTGAAAGCTGCGATGAGTTATTCGGTTCACAGAACTCATATAAGGTTCAGTGCAGCTGAAAATAAAATAAAGATTCCTATCTTCAAAACGTGGAGAGTGAAAACTTTCCAGGTTGGCATCTGTGGGGCAGGTTTTAACATGAACAGAGCTAACATATCAAAATGCAGCTGCTTTACACGTCATCACTAACCAAACGGCTCTTCAGGTAACTGACTAAGTGTGCTTTCTTAAATTCTGCTCTCCCAGCTTGCATAAGTGTATTGTATATATTACCAAAACAATATATTGTAAAGCGCTATGGAATCTGTTGGCGCTATATAAATGCCACTAATAATAACATATCATTTCAATAAGGCCAGAATTTGTAGGCATTCATGTTAGTCCAAGTGGTGCTGTGACTTTACGATTCCGTAAAATCCTTGTTACCGTTTTGACATTGTGACATCTGCCAACATGTTTTGCAAAGCTTTAGCGTTATCCCCATCGGGTGGATCAGGCCATCTGGTGTGATCTGAGGAAGGATGAAAAGGTGTGTGTGTACACAGGCCAAAATGTACCTTACAAAATACTCAGCAATCCAATGCTATGTGTAACAGCCAAAATGTAACTTGTGCACTCACAGAACTTTCTCAATATTTACAAACATTAACTAGATGGGAAAAAAATGTTTTTTACATTTTTCACCAGGCCTTTATCAAATCAAGTTTATAAGGTTTGATAAAACTTGGTATTAAGCCAAAACATCACCTTTTTGCTTTGCACCTTATAAAAGATTATGTTTTTGAGATATTATTTCTGGATCATTCATAATTTATTGCGTATATTATGTGGCTTTTGGATGAAGCAGACATCCTTGCACCCTCGAATGGTGAGCTGTGTACTCGTATTATAATTTTATTTAAATGATAATAAAAAGAGGACACAGCTCGCCATTCGAGATATAGATGATAAATAAATATTAATAAAAGACCATTTTTACCTGGAACTTCCCAAGGTGACTTATACAAGCTCTGTCCAGCGTCAACTTTTACCGTCTCTCCAGTGATGTAGGAGGCAGCGGGTGAGAGCAGAAAACATACCATGGGTGAGATCTGGGTAATATCATGTCAGAATGTTAGCTAGAATCTAGAACACTATCTATAGGTAATAAAACTGTTTTTTGACAACCTACGGATAATCACAGCTATAACTAGTTTTATAAATGTTACACTTGCTGCTCTGTGCTATGCCAATTAATTATGATTGGCAGATAACTCACTAGTGATGTGTCTGAGAATGACAGCCAATATTTCGTGCAGTTCCGAATGTTAAAACAGTCTTTAAAGATGCCATTCTTTGAGGACAACTGAATTCTTTACATTGCTGCCTCCATTACTTCTATGTTGTCATTCAAGCAGGAAAGAAATGATCACAATATTCCTTTAATTGAAATGTTTCAGCTAAGGAAGGTATTAATGTTTTCTTAAAGCTTGTAAATCTAACAGTGTGAAGCAATGTCTAGCATATTAGTATAACAATAGACGTCTAAAGGTGTGCATATAGCTATGTTCCTGTATGATAATGAATGTGTTCAGCTATTTGCACCCAAAGTCAGGCCTGTACTCAATGTTACCTCTTCGGGAAGCCCCAGCCTCTTAGCAGGAATATTTGAGATATAGTTTTGAAACAGGTGAGGACGGTAGTCTTTGTAATTTTCAACAGCAGTTTGCGAGAAGATTGTTCCCTACAGGAAATATCATCAAGAAATCACTAATTAGACATAAAAGGAGGTGAGTGATGGGATTAAACAATATGCTCACATTGAACACGTAGTGGTTACAATATAATAGTGTTAAGGCCAAGTGGTAACTTTAAAGTCAGCAGTAGTTATCTCAAAGTTGGACCATAGCAGGAAGATGACAAAGGCATTGCAGGAGAGGTGAGCATAGCCGATGGTATCTGCAATGGAAAAAGGTGAGTAAAAAGCTTTTTTTTTTGGCTGGACATTAATAGAGACAGGGGCTCTATAGCTTTAGGAATACAAGTGTTTGTTCTAACACTCTAGGGTTCCTTTAACCCCTTAAGGACCAAACTTCTGGAATAAAAGGGAATCATGACATGTCACACATGTCATGTGTCCTTAAGGGGTTAAGAAAATGATGGCTTTAAAGCTGCATAACATGAGAGAGCAAGAGGTGTGCATTTCTACCTACAGGAGCGATGGAGTTGATCCGAACACCATTGTGCGCCCATTCAATAGCTAAGCTTTTGGTCAGATTATCCACAGCCGCTCGTGCTGCTCCTGAATGCCTATTAGGGACAGAAAGAAGACAAAATATTATATCTAATAACAGAAGAGCTTGCTCTCGTTCTATACATTTACAGATAAAGACAATGGCTATACTAAGATGCAATGATTACAGCAAGAGTTCAACCAATTAAAGTAAAAGATGTGATGGGGGTGCAATGGGAAAGACTACTTTACCAAAACCTTCATATCTTACAGAAATGATGAAAATAGCATTGTGGAGGTGAATAGGGCACATGCTAAGGCTTTCACTCTTTCACCATATCATACTGTACTTTGATCCCTACAACCTTTCACCATTCCGTTTCAAAAGGCGGAATGGAGATATTAAACTGGAAAAAGCATTATGTTAAAACTTCCATTGTGTATTTATTGGGCTGAAGCAGGGCACAGTGTTAACAATACATTTTGGATACAGATATACACTAAATTCTTACGCCATGTCAGGAAACCCTTTCCACATGTTCATTACGATATTTACAATGGATCCTCCATGTTCCTTCATCCAGGCATTATACACTGTGCACAGGAAGAGGCAGCGTGTTAATAGGCTAGGAAGAGAAATCAGCAGTGAAAAATACTAACATCACTCCCCAAATCACTGTCATACACTTCCTGCACCATGAACAATAAATCGCTTATATCTCCTCCATCCTAACATCATTCTATGGCTTATACTTCCTCCATCCCCTCTTCATTCTATCGCTTATACTTCCTCCATCCCCTCTTCATTCTATTACTTACACCTCCTCTATCCCAACATCACACTATCACTTATAGCTCCAACATCCCCTCTTCATTCTATCACTTATACTTCCTCCATTCCCTCTTCATTCTATTACTTACACCTCCTCCATCCCTATGTCACACTATCATGTGTACATTCTATCACTTATATAACCTCCATCTTAATGTCATTCTATCACTTATATCTCCCCCACCCCATCTTCATTCGATATCCTATACCTTCTTCATCCCAACTTCATTCTACCACTTATACCTCCTACATCCCAACCTCATTCTATAACGTATACCTCCTACATCCCAACCTCATTCTATAACGTATACCTCCTACATCCCAACCTCATTCTATAACGTATACCTCCTACATCCCAACTTCATTCTATAACTTATACCTCCTACATCCCAACTTCATTCTATAACTTATACCTTCAACATCCCAACCTCATTCTATAACTTATACCCCCTACATCCCAACTTAATTCTATAACTTATACCTCCTACATCCCAACTTCATTCTATAACTTATACTCCCTACACCCTAACTTAATTTTATAACTTATACCTTCTCCATCCCAACCTCATTCTATAACTTATACCTCCTACATCCCAACTTAATTCTATAACTTATACCTTCAACATCCCAACCTCATTCTATAACTTATACCTCCTACATCCCAACTTAATTCTATAACGTATACCTCCTACATCCCAACTTCATTCTATAACTTATACCTTCTCCATCCCAACTTCCTTCTATAACGTATACCTCCTACATCCCAACCTCATTCTATAACTTATACCTCCTACATCCCAACTTTATCCTTATACTTATAACTTTTCTGGCTCCTGGAAACATGTATTTATCCATCTAGAGTTATTTAGTGTTATCATATGTAGTGATAGAGCATGTATGTAATTTTGCAGCTCATTTACAATGTGACAAATTGCTTCACAGAAAAACAAACATTTCTATCTTCATCCTATTATTTCCTATGACCCCATATTCCTAACAAGTGATTTCAAGAAATCTAAAACAAGTTTTTCAAAAAGTTTTTCTATAGCGGTTTTTTAACTTGGCACAGGGTTCATAGTTTTATACATTGTGTAACCATATTTATAGTTTACCTGCTTTACAGCAATAAAATGTTCCTGTGAGGTTAGTTTCTATCACCGCATTCCACCCTTTGGAACTGATTGCTTCGCTGGGACTTCTGAACTGACCCCCGCCATTGTTTACCAGGAAATCAATCCTCCCGTGTATATCTAACGTAGATTTTACAAGGGATTCCACCTATGTTGATAAAAGCCGTTTTCTGCATTTGCAACATCATTTAAAAAATTCACAAAAAAGAAGATTCTGATTTTGTGGAATTATGTACTTTAATAATAAAACAACAGCCAAAAATTTGAGGTTTATAATATGTCTGCAGATTTGGTTACAAACTAAAGCTGTGCTTTGCTAAAATACAGAAAACAAAAACAGGTTTCACAGTCATATCAACTGTGTAGAAGCAACATGCTGGTAAAGGAGCATTATAGTGCCAGGAAAGCAAACTCGTTTTCCTGGCACTATAGGGTTTTTAGTTCCCCACCTCCCTCAAAGACCCCTCTCACTGGGCAGAAGGGCTTAAAACCCATTCAGCCACTTACCTTAAGCAGGCACTGGTTGTGGCAAACCTAGCCACTTGTAATAATCTGGACTATGTATATAAAAAGGTTGCCTGTATTATTCCTGTAACTTTTATATTGCCTGGCTGTATCCTGTGTGTTAATATATGCTGTATTGAATTCGTATGCTAGCTGCCGTAAGCCGCTAGCATTCATGTGTTTCGTTTCACGAACAGCACCATTGCGGGCTGTTCGTGACCCGAATGAGCGACCTCCTAATAGCTCACACACAGAGGGACGTGTGGCGGTCGTTAACCGATTGCAACAATGTTGCAGTCGGTAATTAGAGGCTCTCCTAGGTGGCCGCCGTTCGGCTACCGACCACGCGGCGGTCGGCCATCTTGGATCCTTTGTCTCCCCAGCGGTGTTTGGTCGTCGAGTGCGTGGAACTGAAAACGGCTACTCGACGGCGCGAACACCACTGGACTTCCAGGCCGTTCGGGAGCTCCGGTCTTTCGCCATTAGGGTTCCCCATCGGTGTTCAGTATTTTGGGGCGAACTCTATGGCAAAGTGTATTTCGTACGAAGTTCGGTTGTTTTAGCTGGGATCTGAGCGGTATTCTCACGAACTGTGCACTCAGACCCCAGCTATCTACCGAACGTCCATTCGTTTAAATCTGCCAAGTATTCGAAAAAGTTATGTATTTAAAAGTGAATTGTCGGTTCTGCTGCACGGAGGGATAATCCACTTAACGGTATATTCCAGTGGGAGTATCCCTCTCGTGCAGCAGTGCCTGATGGGAGAAATGCCCAGAATATGAAGTCCCCCATGTAGTCCCCTACTGTGTTACCCCTGCTATGTCAGTAGGGAAACCCCTTGCATGGGGACTTGCATAAATACTGGAGCTGTGAATAAAGACCTCAGTTGACTCCCAGAACGTCCGGTTACTGGGGGATTTGGGATATTGCCTTGCTTTTCAGCGCTTGACTGTGGATTACCGTCTTAACCAGCGGAGATCGTGGGATTTAATATTGCCGCTCCGCTACACTGGTGACCTCCTGATGCCGACGTCAGGTCCGAATGCGCATGCGTGGCGAGAGCCACAAATGCATTCAACCCGCCCATAGGAAAGCATTACTAAATGCTTTCCTGTGGACGTCCAGTGTGTCATCAATGCGATTTTCACACTGAGAATTGCGGAAGCGGCCTCTGGTGGCTGTCAGGGAGACAGTCACTAGAGGCTGGATTAACCCTCAATGTAAACATAGCTTAAAACCTATAGTTAAAACCTGGGGGACCTGGCACCCAGACCGCTTCATTGAGCTGAAGTGGTCTGAGTGCCTATAGTGGTCCTTTAAATAAACGTACAGGAGATTTTTCACTAAACATTAGTATTTTAGTGAACTGAAAATTAGACTTGTGCATTCAGTTTAAAAAGAATTGCGATTAGTCTGAATTTTGGAAGATCATCGAGTTGTCTGAAACAAGGAATGGACGAGCTGTTTCATTTGTTTTGCAGTTTCGTCCGAGATGATTATTGGGGGGAAAAAAATGATTGATGGTTAGGAGAAAGCCTCTAAAGTTATGTATTTAAAAGTGAATTGTCGGTTCTGCTGCACGGAGGGATAATCCACTTAACGGTATATTCCAGTGGGAGTATCCCTCTCGTGCAGCAGTGCCTGATGGGAGAAATGCCCAGAATATGAAGTCCCCCATGTAGTCCCCTCCTGATGCCGACGTCAGGTCCGAATGCGCATGCGTGGCGAGAGCCACAAATGCATTCAACCCGCCCATAGGAAAGCATTACTAAATGCTTTCCTGTGGACGTCCAGTGTGTCATCAATGCGATTTTAACACTGAGAATTGCGGAAGCGGCCTCTGGTGGCTGTCAGGGAGACAGTCACTAGAGGCTGGATTAACCCTCAATGTAAACATAGCTTAAAACCTATAGTTAAAACCTGGGGGACCTGGCACCCAGACCGCTTCATTGAGCTGAAGTGGTCTGAGTGCCTATAGTGGTCCTTTAAATAAACGTACAGGAGATTTTTCACTAAACATTAGTATTTTAGTGAACTGAAAATTAGACTTGTGCATTCAGTTTAAAAAGAATTGCGATTAGTCTGAATTTTGGAAGATCATCGAGTTGTCTGAAACAAGGAATGGACGAGCTGTTTCATTTGTTTTGCAGTTTCGTCCGAGATGATTATTGGGGGGAAAAAAATGATTGATGGTTAGGAGAAAGCCTCTAAATATTGATTTTATTCACAGATTGAGTGTGAAATGACCAAAAGAGGGGAAAAAGGAGAAGTAAAACAAAGTCTACATTTATATATTTAATAAATATAGAAATGTAAAATGTTACTGCTCCTCCTTTCCCCCTCTGTTGGTGACTTCTTATCACTTGATCTGTAAACCAAATCGTGCACAAATGCACCTATCAGTGTACATCAAAATATATACATAGTACTTATATATATATATTACAGCACACTGACAGACACATTTTCGCACTATTTTAGTGAAAAATAAACAAATGTGCTCAATGTGCACGTTCACTGTCCGCTTACTCGTGGTACATCGATATGGTGCTTCGGAGTTATGGAATTTGAACGAATACCATTTCATTTAAAACCAAATGCACAAGTCTATTGCCAATATGAACAAACTGCATATCATGTTTGGCTATATCACGTTATACATGGTTTTTTTTAATAAACATTTGCTAATGTTACAAAATAATTATGTGCTTGTAGATGTATAGACTACAGTGATACTGGAGACTCACTGGTTCCCTATAAGGAATTTGTGATGTCGTTATCCATTTTATAGTTTCCTTACCTCTTCCTCTCTGCGGACATTACATTGAAGTGGTGTCAGTACGGAGGGACTTGATGGGGAAATTTTAATTGTAAGCTCTTTGGCAGCTTCTTTTAAACGGTCCCCATTGCGGGAGGCGATGATCACACTGCAACCTGGAACCAAACAAAAGAAATGATGTCATTTTAAGAAAAAGTAACATTTTAAAACCAATAGGGTTTGGCATCATACTTTGTAAATAATTGTAATTTGTGTGTAGTGTGTGTTAACAGAAAATCTAAACGTTTTACTGTATTTAAGTTAAAGGATTGACAGTCAGCATGACAGGTTTATATGCAAATTAATCTCAAACTTAAAGTAATAGATACAAAGGGGCTTAATTACTTATGAATTGCAAAAAACTGCAATCTAATTTGACAAAAAAAATACCTAAAAAAGTCAGATTCAATAAACTGGAAGTTTTGAAAAACTGAAAAGAATTACAAAATACTGGATATGGAAAAGTAGGGAATCTTTGCAGTTTGTTTTACCCAAATAGCGACTCTTTGCAACAGTGGTGTGCAGGATGGCAATCTAAACACAAGATGTGTGGGAAGCAATATGACCTTAATTAACGCAGCTTGTGGTTCATGTGGTATATAGGGGGAGAAACATATTTCTCGCTGATTGAGACACATTTACATATTGCAAGTAGCCAGTCCAGACACACAACATAAAATGCAAAAGTGCTGTAACACCAGCATAAACATTAAAGCAGAAATATATTTTATTTGTGTTTATATTTTCCCTCTTTATATTGTGTGAACCCTGAAATCAGATCCCGTGCACATTGTACAAATACAACAGAAATTATTGTGATGTGGGTTTTCATTCACAAGAACTGAGAGCAGGAACCACAAATTTGCAGACTGGGGAAATATACATTGGTCATTTTGGAATTGTGCATCACTTGTGTATTTTGATTGTAAGAAGAGGCCCAAAATGTAACCACTTACCGAATAGCTGGCAGAATCAATGCAAAAAAACAAAACAAAACAAAAACTAAAAACAAATAAACAAAAAAAACTGGTCAAATATTAGAGTTTGAATGTTTTCAGAATCAGCCCAATTAGGATAATTATATATTATATGCACTGCTTATACATTATATGCCCAACTATTTTCTTAATACATAATATTAAGTTGTCATGAAAATTAACCATAAAAGATCATATAGTACAACACACTATCTCAAGCGCCACACAATTAAAAGGACTTTTAGAGTTTTATTAACCAATTGGATCTTTTATCTTTGCTTCTATTTTCCATGACAACCATTGGGGCTATTCGGAGACTGAGAATTGTGGGAAATTCAAAGTGAATTTTAAACGCAAGGCCAAAGTAGTCAGTCAATCTGGAACAATTCTCCAAGTCAGCTATGCTTCCAGTTGGACTATTTTGGCCTTGAGTTTGAAATTCATTTTAAATTTCCAGCAATTTTAGTAAATCACCCTGTGTGTACTAAGAAAATAGTTAGTTGTGTGCATAATATAAACTCGGTATGTGTATTCCCAATATACACTGGTTTGGATGCTTTACCACATTACTCAGCACTGTTTGTCACTTTATTGTTATTGGGTGTGTAAACTAAATAAAAATCACAGGAGTGCTTTATTTGAAGATCGGTTGATTTTGCACTAAATGATAAGTCACTGTATAATAGCACAATTTGTATATTTTCTTAGTCCAACAATTTTTGCACACCAATAGTCACATTTTATTGAACACAGCCTTTTTATTATTCCTGATCCCTGTCTTGTATCTCTCAGTCCAAATAAATAAGTAGAACAAATAATCTGGAATGTCTGTACACATTGTTATTTACACTGTCATTGCTTGGGGTGTAAAGATAAATTAAATAACGCACACATTGGGGAAGATGTATTAAGGCAAAAATGTTATTCTGACGCAAAGTGCGAAATGTCTGTAGACATTCTGTTAGTTTCCATGGCAACTGCTCCTTGTTTAACACTTTGTTGCAGCATAGCAAAATTTTTGCCTTGATAAATATGTCATATTGCTCCTATTCTCCTCTTTACTTCACTGAGAGTTATAGGAGCGGTCTAACATTAAACTTGTCTGGGATCCTAGTTGTTGATCATAAGAGGCATGACTGAGGGTGTTTGTATTGGTAAGATATGAAGCATAGCTGGGAGCAGTAGTGGGAGGGATGACTGACAGTTATAGAAGGGGATCTAACAGAGCTGGGATTACAGATGGATGTCAGGATAATGGGAATGGTCAGACTCTGCTCTTTACATGAAGCCTGGGGGTTCGCAGTGAGAGAGGTGGCTGTGAGTGATGGTGGGGGTGATTACACAAGCTTGGCAGGGATCAGAGTGGCTGTCAGTGAGAGGGATGGCTGACAGTGATGGGGGGAATATGACAGGCATGACTGTGATCCCAGTGGCTGTCAGTGAGAGTGATGGCTGAGGGTGATGGGGGATATGACAGGCATTGCTTGGATCCCAGTGGCTGTCAGTGTGAGAGATGGCTAAGGGTGATGGGGGGATATGACATGCATGGTCGGGATCCCAGTAGCTGTCAGTGAGAGGTATGGCTGAGGGTGATGGGGGATATTATACGGGCACGGCTCGGAATCTCAGTGTCTGGCATTAATAATGTTGGCTGAAAGTGATGGGAGGGGTCGTTGTCCTTCACATAAAACTTGGCTGGGATGGCTGAGGGTGATGCGGGATATGGCTGGGATCCCAGTGGCTGTCAGTGGGAGGGATGGCTGAGGGTGATGGGGCTGTCAGTGGGAGGGATGGCTGAGGGCGATGGGGCTGTCAGTGGGAGTGATGGCTGAGGGTGATGGGGGCTGTCAGTGGGAGGGATGGCTGAGAGTGATGGGGCTGTCAGTGGGAGGGATGGCTGAGGGTGATGGGGCTGTCAGTGGGAGGGATGGCTGAGGGTGATGGGGCTGACCTAGTTCCAGCAGCTCGGCCGTTATAGATTTGCCGATGCCGGTTCCTCCCCCGGTGACAATCGCCACTTTGTGCCGGAAGAGCCCCGGGCAGAACACACTGGGAGCCGCCATGCTGGAACTACTTCCGGGTGGGCGGGGCCACGGCTTGTTTCCATGGCAACCAACACAGGGAGGGAGTCTGAGTGGAGACAGTGAGTAACACTCACACACTAAGCTCACACTCACCATATATTAGCTTTACTCACACTCACACTCACCATATAATACAGAGATGTGATAATAAGTGAGTGCCACACTGTTTCATGTTCTCACATTTCCTTTAATAATCTGTTATTTGTCTCTGCAGGTTAACAGAAATATATAAACATTATAGTGCAATTATTACAATTAAACTAATCATATCACATTAGAAATAATATACTTGACGCAATCGTTTACTTTTTCCCTCCCTGATTAAAATCCTTGTATATGGCTGCGGTCTGTCCCATGAAAGCCCAACGATCAAACCGAGCATTAATTCAATGTATCGCCCACACAGGCAGTAACGTACTGCTCTCTGCATTCCTTACACTGAAACAGAATCTCCTTCTAAATCACGTGTTCATGCAATGTGATATATTAATGCACGGCAATTTCCTTTACTGAAATCCGAAAAAAGTGATATTTTATTCTCTACAGCTAGCTTTGACACCCACACGCCGCTGAACACAGATACTAAAAAGGTATCGCAACCTCTAAAAAAGGAGAAAAAAACGAAAAGGAAACCCCCTTTCCATCGCTAGACTAACGTTTCTTTATTATTATTATTGCCATTTATATAGCGCCAACAGATTCCGTAGCGCTTTACAATATTATTAGAGAGGGGATTTAACTATAAATAGGACAATTACAAGAAAACTTACAGGAATAATAGGTTGAAGAGGGCCCTGCTTAAACGAGCTTACAGTATATAGGAGGTGGGGTGTAAAACACAATAGGACAGGAATTCACAATCAAATAAGGTGGGAGTGAAGCAGAGCTGGAGGAGAGAGTAAAGTGTGGCCCTTTAGGAGAGAGCAAGAGACAGGTGTGTAAAGTAGAGGCTACTCTGGGAGGCCATAAGCTTTCCTAAAGAGATGGGTTTTAAGGCACTTCTTAAACAAGTGAAGACTAGGGGAGAGTGATGGGGGTAGGCAGGCTATTCCATAGGAAGGGAGCTACCCGCGAGAAGTTCTGCAAACGCGAGTTGGCCATACGGGTGCGAGCAGCGGACAGGAGAAGGTCACAGGCAGTGCGGAGAGATCGAGAAGGGACATACCTATGGATCTGTGAGGAGATATAAGAGGGGCTAGAATTGTTCAGTGCTTTATAGGTGTGAATTAGTACCTTGAATTGACTCCTATAGGATACAGGAAGCCAATGTAAGGACTGGTAGAGGGGAGAGGTGTGAGAGAACCGACTAGAGAGGAAAATCAGTCTGGCAGCAGCATTCATTACAGACTGTAGCTGTGCAGTACGGCTTTTGGGAAGACCAATCAGGAGAGGGTTACAATAATCCATGCGGGAAATTACTAGAGCATGGTCAAGCTTCTTGGTAGCATCTTGTGTAAGAAAGGGGAGGATGCAGGCTATGTTTTTAAGATGGAATCTACAGGATTTGGCAACATACTGGATGTGAGGCTTAACGCCTTAAGTACCAAACTTCGGGAATAAAAGGGAATCATGACATGTCACACGTCATGTGTCCTTAAGAGGTTAAAGGTGAGGCCAGAATCAAGTATGACGCCAAGACGGCGCGCTTGCAAGGATGGACTGATGTGGATACCACTAACTTGAAGGGAGCGCGAAATAGGAGGATCAGTGTTAGGAGGAGGAAAGAGAAGGAGCTCAGTTTTAGAGAGATTGAGTTTCAGAAAGCGGTAGGACATCCAGTCAGAGATGGAAGAAAGGCAAGCAGTGACACGTTGCAGGACAGCAGGGGAGAGATCCGAGGAGGAGAGATAAATCTGGGTGTCATCAGTGTACAGGTGGTAGTGGAATCCAAATGAGGCAATAAGTTTGCCAAGAGAGGCAGTATAAAGAGAAAATAGAAGGGGACCAAGGACAGAGCCTTGTGGGACTCCAGAGAGAGTACTTTAGGCTGCGGTCTAACATTCTTTGAAAAAAGCTGCGTCTTGTGTTATGAAATACTGATAACATGTATATTGTATAACATTCACAAACAATATACATTCGGATTACAAATACATAATTAAAGAAGGCCTCGTTAATTCTGTGTTTCCTGATTCAGCCACGCGGTCATGCTAGCATTCCAACGTGTCACAGTTTGTGTGGAGGGATGTCTGATAACATATTTTTCAAAGCTTTGGCATTCTCTCCATCTGGAGCTTCAGGCCACCTGTTGTGATCTGTGAAGAGAATAGTTCGTTTTTTTTTATATTTTGAAATATTGGAATGACCCAGTACTTACGTTTATATTAAAATTTCTTTGATTAAATCAATAAAACCCCATTTATACCTGGCACTTCCCAGGAGGAATGGTACAAGCTCTGTCCTGCATCCACCTTTACGGTCTCTCCAGTGATGTAGGAAGCAGCAGGAGAGAGTAAGAAACACACCATGGGTGAAATCTGTGGATTGACATAATGAGATGCAAAATACATTATCAGTCAGACAAAAGCATAGACAAAGGCCACCATAAATAGGGGGAACAACCGTCATTTGATAATTGTGTCACCAGCATGCGGTGTGCTGACACCAAATATGTGGTATGCACAGATTTAACATAGCTAGCCAAGAACGCTTGTTCCAGGCAGGAAATTATGCAGCCAGAGGTGGACTTACTTCATTACATACTTCTTTATAGTTCTTTATAATTAATTGCTGCACATATAGAATCCTTGCACCAGGACAACTTTAAATCACTGAAGTTTGGAGTAACCCTTTTAATGTGCCAATTCATAAACAATGAGGGTTTACTCACTGCAGTGAAGGGAAATACAAATTGAGTGAAATGAAATACGAATGTATAAATTTAGGCAAAAAGAGCTGATCTGTTTTCTAATTTGGCTCTAATCACAGCTTAGTCATCTGTCACAGCCACCATAAGGTCCATTTACCTAGTTTCCTATGGCAGAGCGGTCCAGACATCTGTTAGGACATATGTTGTGCATGTGATAACTCTGATCACGCTTGGTGTCACTGAGGCCACAAGTCACTTTGGTAAAAGTGGCTTCCTGTGCAATAATCGATTTCATGGTCTTCTAGTAACTGGCACCACAGATGTCTCATGTGTCATTCAAAATGGAATTGGAGTTCTTTGCACCCTTTTCTGGAATCGTTTATTTTCCATCCATGCGATGTGGCCTCCCAAATGGCACGAACGAGTGTTTAAAGCCCATATTGATGCTCAGTTGGTCCGACACATTTGCTGCAAAGATCCAGTGTACTTTTGGTCCTGCTCCCTTTCCAGGACCACTGCCCTTCCGCCTCATATTACAGACCATTGTCTATATTTGGACGTGGACTTCACCTCTTGCTTATGAACTGTTGCTGCCTTGAACCTCAAACCCAATTGACTACACTTTGCCTAGCCCTTCCTCGAGTGATGTCTTAGACCGATCATTCACCATTCGCTGATTAGTAAAGACCCAATAACAAAGTAGACCTTCTAGAGGCCTATCCAAAACCTCAGGCCCTTCAAGGAAGTAGTGTTCACAAAGGTGTGCTATTCTCTGCAATTTTATTCAAGTTAATTGGCCAACAGCTATTTTAGTTTGCATTTCAGTTTAGAACAATGTTTTTTTAGTGAATAATTGCATTTGTGGGTACATATCATTAAGTTCATTAGTCCTGGGTCACAAATGTACATAATGTTACCTCTTCAGGAAGCCCCAGTCTCTTGGCAGGTATTTTTGGGATATAGTTTTGAAACATACTTGGACCCATATCTTTGTAATTTTCAACAGCAGTCTTTGAAAAGATTGTTCCCTGTAGAACGAATAATCAAGGTATTAATTAGACATTGAAGCAAAAGGCTGATATCAAACAGTAAGTAGTTACATTGTAACAGTGTTAACGGTCACATAGCTAATAGTTAAATTCCACTAAGCATGAGCTCACAGAGTCCACTTGTTTGATCAGGGATATGACGGCTACACAAGTAACATGGGATAGTGATGCAAGTAAAAGATGCAGATAGTATTAACTCACAGGGGCGATGGAGTTGATCCGAACACCATTGTGTGCCCACTCGATAGCTAGGCTCTTGGTGAGGTTATCCACAGCTGCTCGAGCTGCTCCAGTATGGCTGTTACGGACAGAAGAGAAGTGGCTTAATTATTGACATGTTAAATCATATAAAAGATTGGAATTATAACTACAGGTGCAACTTGTGGACTAAAGGCAGGAAATGTAAGATTTAGATATGTTCGAGCACAAATTACACTGACAAGGAGACATAAATGCGAGGGCATGAGAGAAGCATTGACCGGGAGAGACTAAAGTTATACTATTGTTAAAACAAGACACAAAATGGGTTTAAACCTATAAACTATAAAAGTCTGTCTTGGGTTAAAGCACAAAAAAAAACAAAACAAATAAAAACAGAGAATCAAGAAAGTGCTGAAGACCAAGACCAGCATTATTATGGTAATTTAATTATCAGAGAAGCACAAAGAATGATGTAATGTGTGCTCTGTGGCTGATTAATAAACTAATGGTGTAAACAAACAAAATAAATAAACATGCCTTTTATAGTGTCTGTTTTGTCTTTTTTATATGAAGACTGATAAAGCTTTGGATAGTTCTAGGAGCAGAATGGGATTTTGTACATTAACCCCTTCATTTCCTACCACTTTTTGAGTGAGACAATATAAGAATATTTATTTTAAGTGAGAGATGCACAAACATAGCATAAGTTGTCAATTTTGTGGATATATTGCTTTGATGGAAAATGAAATAAAATAGAATTATGTAAATTTACAACATTTTTATTCTTCACTTATTTGTTCAGCCTTTATAAAAAATATTTGGGGAATGAAAAGTTTTACAGAGTAATTTATCTTGTAATATTACACACATGGTCTGAAATGATAGTATAATGCAAAAATATACCTACTCCATCCTAGAAAATTGGGCAGACTAGATGGGCCGAATGGTTCTTATCTGCCGTCACATTCTATGTTTCTATGAATTTTTACGTGTTTTTTGTTTTTATTTTGTTTTGTTTTTTTACATACAGTAGAGGTGACAAAATGATAAATAAAAATGGTCAAATAGCCAGCTTATAGGTATTTGTAAGGAACGCAAAAGGCAATTAAAAACAGTACAGCTTACTGAAAGTTGTATACAAAATATAAAAAGAACAGACAGGACACTGACATGAAGTGGTCTGAGCGCCTATAGCTATAAGAGTTTTTATCAATCTCTGGACTAGATTTCATGCAAATTACATGAAAATTAAAATGTATACACTCGATTTGTGTAGGGTTAATGCAACATTGTTTCTTTCAATAACTCCAGTTCACAATTTTGAAGTATTGATTTCTGTCGAGCTTGTAGAAATGCATAAATAAAGTTCTTACGCCATGCCAGGAAACCCCTTCCACATGTCTGCTACGATATTCACAATGGCTCCTCCGTGTTCCTTCATCCAGGCATTATACACTGCACCCAGTGAGAGATTAGGGAGTTAGTAGATCAGAAATGATTTACCTAATTCTTTAAATCCCTGTCTCACACTCCCTGCACCATGGGAATAAATATATAGTCACACACTTCTATTCCAAATATTCCTCTTTATAACAAGCCCACGTTTAAGACAATATACCATTCACACATCCTCCATATCTGCTTCATTCTTTCACTCAACTCCTTCATCGCCAATTCATCTAATCCAGTCAACCTCTGTCCAGACTGATATCTGTAACCATATTTATTGTTTACCTGCTTTACAGCAATAAAATGTTCCTGTGAGGTTAGTTTCTATCACCGCATTCCACCCTTTGGAACTGATTGCTTCACTGGGACTCGGGAACTGACCTCCGCCATTGTTTACCAGGAAATCAATTCTCCCGTAGAGATCCAACGTAGATTTTACAAGGGATTCTACCTATAGAGGAAAATCTCTCAGTTTGTCCATACTAGCAGGAGTCGCTGTGTATTGTGTAACACTCAATATGTCAACATGTTTGTAACCTTTATGAAGCTGCAGAACCCAAAAATGCTATAATGATAACCTAATAACTTTCTTACTGGTGTGACTCAAATATCTGCTGAAAAAAAATTACACATTTATGTTCAGTATGCGGATTTGTAATTTAAACATTCGTATACAGGAAAGGGATCAGATCAGCTCCTGAATATAACCCACATTTTGAGGTACAATAGGGGCTCCAAATGACATAACTAACACTGCCCCAACATACACAGGGTTATTCACGAACATGAGAAGGGCTGAGAATTCACAGTGAATTTCAAATTTAAGGCAAAGATAGGGGGAGGTATCCCTTTCACTCATAATCCAACACAGAATATGATTAAAGACAACAAGATTTTATCATAAAAAGCCAAATCTGCATTCTAAACTATAGGTGCGATGTTTCCCCATACCTCTTCCTCTTTGCGGATGTTACACTGAAGTGGTGTCACTACAGAGGGAGTTGAAGGGGAGATTTTAGCTGTGAGATCTATCACAGCTTCTTTTAAACGTCCAAGGTTACGGGAGGCGATGACCACACTGCAACCTGGGAGACAAATAGCAGAGGTCACTTCCAAAAATGATCAGTTTTACCATAAAGTTTTGAGGAGAGAAAAAAAAAAAAAAAAAAGGGAGAGGGAGAGGGAGATATCTCCATCCCTGAAATATAAATATGAAGGGATAAGATAAAGTCAGGCACAGCAAAAATACAGTAGAAAATACCTGAATATCCTGCCTATGCATTCTGTATATTTAAGAATTTATTCACTAAACATTGAACTTTAAAATTTAATGTGAACATTGTCAAGATGGGAGTAGAGTAGATTAAGTACTGGTTTTCAATCCCAGATATTGCGCTCATATTCTGTTCACATTCCATAATAATAACCTACTTATTGAATAAGCAAACCACTGCATTGCATACCATGTGTAACTCTCCAATTTAACAACATAATAATGTGGGATGCCTGCAGTTAGTTTTGTTAGATGCATTGACACACACTGACATTGCTCTTTGTAAACTCTCAGTAAAAGCTCCTGGATGTTCTATTACTCCTATAGAGGGATAGAACATCCTATATTAGAATTATTGGTATTTATATAGCGCCAGCTTATTCCGCAGTGCTTTACAATAAGAGGGGAATTTACCAAATCAGACAATAACAAAGTGTAACAGGAACAAAAAGTAGTTGGGGATCCTGCTCAAACGAGCTTACACTCTAGAGCAGGTGGGGTATAAAAACACAATAGGAGAGAGACAGCAAATAGACATGGTGGGAAATTAGCACAACTGGAGGGGAGAGTTGAGTGTGGCCCTTTAGGAAACATAGAAGAGAGAGCTATATCCTATATTGCTCTTTATTCCCCCTGCCTTCCTGCCCTTGTTATACACTGCCCTTTAGAATGGTGGCTGAGGCTGAAAGGAGGATCAGTATCTGCCCTTCACATGGAGCTTGGCTGGGATCCCAGTGTCTGGCAGTGAAAGGAATGGCTGAAGGTGATGGGAGGGTAAAAGGAAGGGTCAGACTCTACCCTACAGCTGAGGGCGATGGGGGCAGTCAGTGGGAGGGATGGCCGAGGGCGATGGGGGCAGTCAGTGGGAGGGATGGCCGAGGGCGATGGGGGCTGTCAGTGGGAGGGATGGCCGAGGGCGATGGGGGCTGTCAGTGGGAGGGATGGCCGAGGGCGATGGGGGCTGTCAGTGGGAGGGATGGCCGAGGGTGATGGGGCTGTCAGTGGGAGGGATGGCCGAGGGTGATGGGGGCTGTCAGTGGGAGGGATGGCCGAGGGTGATGGGGCTGGCAGTGGGAGGGATGGCCGAGGGGGATGGGGCTGTCAGTGGGAGAGGATGGCCGAGGTGATGGGGCTGTCAGTGGGAGGGATGGCCGAGGGCGATGGGGGCTGTGGGATGGGAGTGGGAGTGGGAGTGGCTGGCTGTCAGTGGGAGGATGGCCGAGGGTGATGGGGCTGTCAGTGGGAGGATGGCCGAGGTGATGGGGGGCTGTCAGTGGGAGGGATGGCTGAGGGTGATGGGGCTGTCAGTGGGGGGATGGCTGAGGGTGATGGGGCTGTCAGTGGAAGGGATGGCTGAGGGGTGATGGGGCTGTCAGTGGAAGGATGGCTGAGGGTGATGGGGCTGTCAGTGGGAGGGATGGCGGAGGTGATGGGGGCTGTCAGTGGGAGGGATGGCGGAGGGTGATGGGGCTGTCAGTGGGAGGGATGGCTGAGGTGATGGGGCTGTCAGTGGGAGGGATGGCTGAGGGTGATGGGGCTGTCAGTGGGAGGGATGGCGGAGGGTGATGGGGCTGTCAGTGGGAGGGATGGCTGAGGGTGATGGGGCTGTCAGTGGGAGGGATGGCTGAGGGCGATGGGGCTGTCAGTGGGAGTGATGGCTGAGGGTGATGGGGGCTGTCAGTGGGAGGGATGGCTGAGAGTGATGGGGCTGTCAGTGGGAGGGATGGCTGAGGGTGATGGGGCTGTCAGTGGGAGGGATGGCTGAGGGTGATGGGGCTGACCTAGTTCCAGCAGCTCGGCCGTTATAGATTTGCCGATGCCGGTTCCTCCCCCGGTGACAATCGCCACTTTGTGCCGGAAGAGCCCCGGGCAGAACACACTGGGAGCCGCCATGCTGGAACTACTTCCGGGTGGGCGGGGCCACGGCTTGTTTCCATGGCAACCAACACAGGGAGGGAGTCTGAGTGGAGACAGTGAGTAACACTCACACACTAAGCTCACACTCACCATATATTAGCTTTACTCACACTCACACTCACCATATAATACAGAGATGTGATAATAAGTGAGTGCCACACTGTTTCATGTTCTCACATTTCCTTTAATAATCTGTTATTTGTCTCTGCAGGTTAACAGAAATATATAAACATTATAGTGCAATTATTACAATTAAACTAATCATATCACATTAGAAATAATATACTTGACGCAATCGTTTACTTTTTCCCTCCCTGATTAAAATCCTTGTATATGGCTGCGGTCTGTCCCATGAAAGCCCAACGATCAAACCGAGCATTAATTCAATGTATCGCCCACACAGGCAGTAACGTACTGCTCTCTGCATTCCTTACACTGAAACAGAATCTCCTTCTAAATCACGTGTTCATGCAATGTGATATATTAATGCACGGCAATTTCCTTTACTGAAATCCGAAAAAAGTGATATTTTATTCTCTACAGCTAGCTTTGACACCCACACGCCGCTGAACACAGATACTAAAAAGGTATCGCAACCTCTAAAAAAGGAGAAAAAAACGAAAAGGAAACCCCCTTTCCATCGCTAGACTAACGTTTCTTTATTATTATTATTGCCATTTATATAGCGCCAACAGATTCCGTAGCGCTTTACAATATTATTAGAGAGGGGATTTAACTATAAATAGGACAATTACAAGAAAACTTACAGGAATAATAGGTTGAAGAGGGCCCTGCTTAAACGAGCTTACAGTATATAGGAGGTGGGGTGTAAAACACAATAGGACAGGAATTCACAATCAAATAAGGTGGGAGTGAAGCAGAGCTGGAGGAGAGAGTAAAGTGTGGCCCTTTAGGAGAGAGCAAGAGACAGGTGTGTAAAGTAGAGGCTACTCTGGGAGGCCATAAGCTTTCCTAAAGAGATGGGTTTTAAGGCACTTCTTAAACAAGTGAAGACTAGGGGAGAGTGATGGGGGTAGGCAGGCTATTCCATAGGAAGGGAGCTACCCGCGAGAAGTTCTGCAAACGCGAGTTGGCCATACGGGTGCGAGCAGCGGACAGGAGAAGGTCACAGGCAGTGCGGAGAGATCGAGAAGGGACATACCTATGGATCTGTGAGGAGATATAAGAGGGGCTAGAATTGTTCAGTGCTTTATAGGTGTGAATTAGTACCTATAGGATACAGGAAGCCAATGTAAGGACTGGTAGAGGGGAGAGGTGTGAGAGAACCGACTAGAGAGGAAAATCAGTCTGGCAGCAGCATTCATTACAGACTGTAGCTGTGCAGTACGGCTTTTGGGAAGACCAATCAGGAGAGGGTTACAATAATCCATGCGGGAAATTACTAGAGCATGGTCAAGCTTCTTGGTAGCATCTTGTGTAAGAAAGGGGAGGATGCAGGCTATGTTTTTAAGATGGAATCTACAGGATTTGGCAACATACTGGATGTGAGGCTTAACGCCTTAAGTACCAAACTTCGGGAATAAAAGGGAATCATGACATGTCACACGTCATGTGTCCTTAAGAGGTTAAAGGTGAGGCCAGAATCAAGTATGACGCCAAGACGGCGCGCTTGCAAGGATGGACTGATGTGGATACCACTAACTTGAAGGGAGCGCGAAATAGGAGGATCAGTGTTAGGAGGAGGAAAGAGAAGGAGCTCAGTTTTAGAGAGATTGAGTTTCAGAAAGCGGTAGGACATCCAGTCAGAGATGGAAGAAAGGCAAGCAGTGACACGTTGCAGGACAGCAGGGGAGAGATCCGAGGAGGAGAGATAAATCTGGGTGTCATCAGTGTACAGGTGGTAGTGGAATCCAAATGAGGCAATAAGTTTGCCAAGAGAGGCAGTATAAAGAGAAAATAGAAGGGGACCAAGGACAGAGCCTTGTGGGACTCCAGAGAGAGTACTTTAGGCTGCGGTCTAACATTCTTTGAAAAAAGCTGCGTCTTGTGTTATGAAATACTGATAACATGTATATTGTATAACATTCACAAACAATATACATTCGGATTACAAATACATAATTAAAGAAGGCCTCGTTAATTCTGTGTTTCCTGATTCAGCCACGCGGTCATGCTAGCATTCCAACGTGTCACAGTTTGTGTGGAGGGATGTCTGATAACATATTTTTCAAAGCTTTGGCATTCTCTCCATCTGGAGCTTCAGGCCACCTGTTGTGATCTGTGAAGAGAATAGTTCGTTTTTTTTTATATTTTGAAATATTGGAATGACCCAGTACTTACGTTTATATTAAAATTTCTTTGATTAAATCAATAAAACCCCATTTATACCTGGCACTTCCCAGGAGGAATGGTACAAGCTCTGTCCTGCATCCACCTTTACGGTCTCTCCAGTGATGTAGGAAGCAGCAGGAGAGAGTAAGAAACACACCATGGGTGAAATCTGTGGATTGACATAATGAGATGCAAAATACATTATCAGTCAGACAAAAGCATAGACAAAGGCCACCATAAATAGGGGGAACAACCGTCATTTGATAATTGTGTCACCAGCATGCGGTGTGCTGACACCAAATATGTGGTATGCACAGATTTAACATAGCTAGCCAAGAACGCTTGTTCCAGGCAGGAAATTATGCAGCCAGAGGTGGACTTACTTCATTACATACTTCTTTATAGTTCTTTATAATTAATTGCTGCACATATAGAATCCTTGCACCAGGACAACTTTAAATCACTGAAGTTTGGAGTAACCCTTTTAATGTGCCAATTCATAAACAATGAGGGTTTACTCACTGCAGTGAAGGGAAATACAAATTGAGTGAAATGAAATACGAATGTATAAATTTAGGCAAAAAGAGCTGATCTGTTTTCTAATTTGGCTCTAATCACAGCTGAGTCATCTGTCACAGCCACCATAAGGTCCATTTACCTAGTTTCCTATGGCAGAGGGGTCCAGACATCTGTTAGGACATATATGTTGTGCATGTGGTAACTCTGATCACGCTTGGTGTCACTGAGGCCACAAGTCACTTTGGTAAAAGTGGCTTCCTGTGCAATAATCGATCTCATGCTCTTGTAGTAACTGGCACCACAGATGTCTCATGGGTCCTTCAAAATGGAATTGGAGTTCTTTGCACCCTTTTCTGGAATAGTTTATTTTCCATCCATGCGATGTGGCCTCCCAAATGGCACGAATGAGTGTTTAAAGCCCATATTGGTGCTCAGTTGGTCCGACACATTTGCTGCAAGGTTCCAGTGTTCTTTTGGTACTGCTCCCTTTCCAGGACCACTGCCCTTCCGCCTCATATTACAGACCATTGTCTATATTTGGACGTGGACTTGACCTCTTGCTTATGAACTGTTGCTGCCTTGAACCTCAAACCCAATTGACTACACTTTGCCTAGCCCTTCCTCGAGTGATGTCTTAGACCGATCATTCACCATTCGCTGATTAGTAAAGACCCAATAACAAAGTAGACCTTCTAGAGACCTATCCAAAACCTCAGGCCCTTCAAGGAAGTAGTGTTGACAAAGGTGTGCTATTCTCTGCAATTTTATTCAAGTTAATTGGCCAACAGCTATTTTAGTTTGCATTTCAGTTTAGAACAATGTTTTTTTAGTGAATAATTGCATTTGTGGGTACATATCATTAAGTTCATTAGTCCTGGGTCACAAATGTACATAATGTTACCTCTTCAGGAAGCCCCAGTCTCTTGGCAGGTATTTTTGGGATATAGTTTTGAAACATACTTGGACCCATATCTTTGTAATTTTCAACAGCAGTCTTTGAAAAGATTGTTCCCTGTAGAACGAATAATCAAGGTATTAGACATTGAAGCAAAAGGCTGATATCAAACAGTAAGTAGTTACACTGTAACAGTGTTAACGGTCACATAGCTAATAGTTAAATTCCACTAAGCATGAGCTCACAGAGTCCACTTGTTTGATCAGGGATATGACGGCTACACAAGTAACATGGGATAGTGATGCAAGTAAAAGATGCAGATAGTATTAACTCACAGGGGCGATGGAGTTGATCCGAACACCATTGTGTGCCCACTCGATAGCTAGGCTCTTGGTGAGGTTATCCACAGCTGCTCGAGCTGCTCCAGTATGGCTGTTACGGACAGAAGAGAAGTGGCTTAATTATTGACATGTTAAATCATATAAAAGATTGGAATTATAACTACAGGTGCAACTTGTGGACTAAAGGCAGGAAATGTAAGATTTAGATATGTTCGAGCACAAATTACACTGACAAGGAGACATAAATGCGAGGGCATGAGAGAAGCATTGACCGGGAGAGACTAAAGTTATACTATTGTTAAAACAAGACACAAAATGGGTTTAAACCTATAAACTATAAAAGTCTGTCTTGGGTTAAAGCACAAAAAAAAACAAAACAAATAAAAACAGAGAATCAAGAAAGTGCTGAAGACCAAGACCAGCATTATTATGGTAATTTAATTATCAGAGAAGCACAAAGAATGATGTAATGTGTGCTCTGTGGCTGATTAATAAACTAATGGTGTAAACAAACAAAATAAATAAACATGCCTTTTATAGTGTCTGTTTTGTCTTTTTTATATGAAGACTGATAAAGCTTTGGATAGTTCTAGGAGCAGAATGGGATTTTGTACATTAACCCCTTCATTTCCTACCACTTTTTGAGTGAGACAATATAAGAATATTTATTTTCAGTAAGGGATGCATAATTAGATTATAAACATAGCATAAGTTGGCAATTTGGTGGATATATTACTTTGATGGAAAAATTAAAAAAATAGAATTATGTAAATTTACTACATTTTTATTCTTCACTTATTTGTTCAGTCTTTATAAAAAAATATTTGGGGAATGAAAAGTTTTACAGAGTAATTTATCTTGTAATATTACACACAGGGTCTGAAATGTTAGTATAACGCAAAAATGAATTTTTACGTGTTTTTTGTTTTTATTTTGTTTTGTCTTTTTACATACAGTAGAGGTGACAAAATGATAAATAGAAATGGTCAAATAGCCAGCTTATAGGTATTTGTAAGGAACGCAAAGGCATTACAAACAGTACAGCTTACTGAAAGTTGCAACAAAATATAAAAAGAACAGACAGGACACTGACATGAAGTGGTCTGAGCGCCTAGAGCTATAGGAGTTTTTATCAATCTCTGGACTAGATTTCATGCAAATTACATGAAAATTAAAATGTATACACTCGATTTGTGTAGGGTTAATGCAACATTGTTTCTTTCAATAACTCCAGTTCACAATTTTGAAGTATTGATTTCTGTTGAGCTTGTAGAAATGCATAAATAAAGTTTTTACGCCATGCCAGGACACCCCTTCCACATGTCTGCTACGATATTCACAATGGCTCCTCCATGTTCCTTCATCCAGGCATTATACACTGCACCCAGTGAGAGATTAGGGGGTTAGTAGATCAGAAATTATTTACCCAATTCTTTACACTCCCTGCACCATGGGAATAAATATATAGTCACACACATTTCTATTGCAAATATTCCTCTTTATAACAAGCCCACGTTTAAGACAATATACCATTCACACATCCTCCATATCTGCTTCATTCTTTCACTCAACTCCTTCATCGCCAATTCATTTAATCCAGTCAACCTCTGTCCAGACTGATATCTGTAACCATATTTGTTTACCTGCTTTACAGCAATAAAATGTTCCTGTGAGGTTAGTTTCTATCACCGCATTCCACCCTTTGGAACTGATTGCTTCACTGGGACTCGGGAACTGACCTCCGCCATTGTTTACCAGGAAATCAATCCTCCCGTAGAGATCCAACGTAGATTTTACAAGGGATTCTACCTATAGAGGAAAATCTCTCAGTTTGTCCATACTAGCAGGAGTCGCTATGTATTGTGTAACACTCAATATGTCAACATGTTTGTAACCTTTATGAAGCTGCAGAACCCAAAAATGCTATAATGATAACCTAATAACTTTCTTACTGGTGTGAAGACATGGTGTGACTCAAATATCTGCTGTAAAAAAATTACACATTTATGTTCCGTCTGCTGATTTGTAATTTAAACATTCATATACAGGAAAGGGATCAGATCAGCTTCTGAATATAACCCACTTTGAGGTACAATAGGGGCTCCAAATGACATAACTAACACTGCCCCAACATACACAGGGTTATTCACGAACATGAGAAGGGCTGAGAATTCAAAGTGAATTTCAAATTTAAGGCCAAGATAAAAAATGTAATCAATTAGACTTTTACAATCATTTTTTTTTGGGGGGGGGGAGGGGAGAGGTATCCCTTTCACTCATAATCCAACACAGAATATGATTAAAGACATCAAGATTTTATCATAAAAAGCCAAATTTGCATTCTAAACTATAGGTGCGATGTTTCCCCATACCTCTTCCTCTTTGCGGATGTTACACTGAAGTGGTGTCACTACAGAGGGAGTTGAAGGGGAGATTTTAGCTGTGAGATCTATCACAGCTTCTTTTAAACGTCCAAGGTTACGGGAGGCGATGACCACACTGCAACCTGGGAGACAAATAGCAGAGGTCACTTCCAAAAATGATCAGTTTTACCATAAAGTTTTGAACCTACAATTTCTGTAAATAAAATATATATATATATATATATATATAAAAAAAAAAAAAATCTAGATAGCCGCTGCACTCCAACCATAACAAAATAATTAAAAAATACCTGGTGCTCTGGTAGCTGAATAATACAAAACAAGAAAAATACCGGCACTCAAGGATTTTCATCAAATTAAGTCTTCATTTATTGCGAAGAAAGAGGATCGACGTTTCAGCTCCTCACAAGAGCTTTCATCAGGTGAAACCTGATGAAAGCTCCTGTGAGGAGCTGAAACGTCGATCCTCTTTCTTCGCAATAAATGAAGACTTAATTTGATGAAAATCCTTGAGTGCCGGTATTTTTCTTGTTTTATATATATATATATATATATATATATATATATATACACACACACACACACACACATATACACATACATACATAAATATGAAGGGATAAGATAAAGTCAGGCACAGCAAAAATACAGTAGAAAATACCTGAATATCCTGCCTATGCATTCTGTATATTTAAGAATTTATTCACTAAACATTGAATTTTCAATTTAATGTGAACATTGTCAAGATGGGAGTAGAGTAGATTAAGTACTGGTTTTCAATCCCAGATATTGCGTTCATATTCTGTTCACATTCCATAATAATAACCTACTTATTGAATAAGCA